TTTATTAATGCAGGAGAAACCAAACTATTGGAAGGGCTTTATCTTTGGTACAAAGATCATTTTCAGTATCTACAGGGGGACGAAACTCAGAGATGGGTCGAAGTAAGGTAGAAGCTGCTACAAATCACAGACAATCTTGATTTACTCGTGTTTGCCCATTGGCTTAGTGTCACTTGTGCAGTTAGTTGTAAGTATACGTAATATACCCAGCAGAACGATTCGAGACCCGCCTAAGTAACTGGCAAGCCCTGGTTCACCATTAGGAAGTGCGAGATTAGGTACCGCCGAGTAAGAGGTAAGATACCCACCATATAGATATTATCTTCCAGTACTATACAGCCAGCTAAAGGAAATCCCGATTTAAAGCTTTTCCACTCTCGCGAGCATGAGTAGAGCTTGCTACGTTGCTTTGACTCGCGAAAGAATCACCAACTTATCTTCTTCTCTTGAATCCACGTAATGAAGTCGACTTGTCTGTTTTATTGCTTTATCACCATTCTAAGACCCAATGTCAATTCTATTTTTGCTGATTTCCTCTCATGAACGTTTAATACTCAATATTTTTTACAATCTAAGTCAAAATTTCTGAACTTTTATTGCTTTTTATTGCCCAAAGAACTCGCTATAGTATCTCAGATTTCATTTAAACTTACAGATATCACTCGTATTTTCTATTTACAACACATTTTTTGCTGTTAGGTCTAAATTATAGTGTATTGAAGGAATAAAAGTTTATTAGCAACTACTAAATAGAAGCATTAATGACTTTAGGATTCAACAGTTGACAATTTGGAATCAATATAGAAATGAGAAGAAATAATAGCCTACAAAAATTCTTCGGAATTAAGAATCGTGACAAAAGTTTAGAGAAAGTGTAACATCCAGCGTTATTTCTTTATAATTTTGCTATTTCTTTTATTGTTTTTTTGAGTTTCTTATCGGTTCTTAAAAAAAAAACATCTGTATTTTTCAAAACTATGTTTTTTTTTTACAAATTATTTATTTTTTCTTTTTGGAACCGATAATGAAACCGAAAACCTTAAGTGATCTACACTTGTAAGATGCACTTTGAGATTTCCATATTTATATAAACTAGAACAGTTGTAAGCAATAAACATTTAGAAAAAAAAAAAAAAAATATATATATATATAACTGAGATATTAACACAAAACTTTATGAGTGCATCTTCCAGATGTCGATCGCTGAGGTTCTTTTTTTAGCTTTCGTTTTCCCACGACAGACCCAAAAAAATCGCCAAGATTTTCTCTCTGTTAGCAATAAAATTTTCTACTTTTAAAATTAAAAATATCAAACTCCAAACTACTTTATTTCTATCTTACACGTTGAAATAATAAATTCCTAATTGTTTATTTAATTATTATTTAATCATTGATCTTTTCTAATTTCCTACTCTAAAAATATTCATCCCCAAACTTGCACCCGTTTTAAAAAATTAAGAAGGAATAGCAATATAAAAACTAAAGACCCTAATGAAAAAGTCAGTAGCTTTTAAGTTGAGTTCAGTTCTGTTTAATTAGTTCAATTCATTCTTCTATTTCCAATTCTTTCAAGTTCCAAGTTCATTCTTTTGAATCATTCAATTTTATAATTATTTCTCCAGCGATTAGTCAGTTTTATCATTCTTTAAAAATTTGCTCATTATTTTTTTTATATACCTTCTGAAAAGATTTCAGTAAGAAACAAAAATTAAAAAAAAAATTATGTATATTGGCGCATGATGTAACACTAGCAAAAAAAATATTTATATACTTATCCATGTGCACATAATTTGTAAAGATATATAAGAGCAAAACGAGCACGCGCCTGATTATAACGTCACATACTAGGTATAAGGTGTAAAAGCAAGTTGGGGGTCGACTTGAAAAGTGAGTGAGAGAGAACGTAGGAGGACAAAATGCTGGAATTATCGCGGGGAAACCAGGAACTCGCCATGGAGACAATGTCGTCCGCTGCGTTGAACGAGACGTAGCGACCAGAAAACGAAAGATAAGAACCGTGGTTCGAAGTCACGTTGCGTTTTGAGTATAATGTTACTCATTTTCCTCCATCTGATTTCCTATCACTGTTGCCTTTCCCCTTTGTCAACCTCTCTTTCCATTTTTCTATTTTGTTTTCTTTATACTTTCCTTCCTTTTTCATTATCTTCCACAATACTACAGTCAGGGAAATAAGTTTAAAATAACACAGGCCAATAATTTTTGAGTTTCACGTACATACCGGTAGGCTTCTAATTTACTCAATTAAAAATGAAAGATCCAATATGGCTAACGAATGGATCGAAACTCAAATGATGAACAGTGATCTGATTGACTAAATCGAAGTGAAGCATCAATCTGTCCAGGTCGGTGCTTTTACATTTGACGTGAGAAACAGTTAATTTTGAAAAAGCAGTTTCCCTGTTTCTTCCTCTCACGCTCACCTGACAGCAATGACGGAATAATTCATGTCTACGATCGTTCGCCTTTATTTGTGATTGTTTGTGGCAAAATGAACGCTTTAATTTCCCTCTACAAAAGCCGACGACAAATCAAACGACTTTGACATGATTAACTGGCGAGCATAAATTTCGGTATCAATGCACATGCATGCAATGACGCGTCGAGCCATGTCCACACAGTTTTCTCCCCTCATTCTACACTTTATCTCTCTTCATCCTCGCAAATGTCCAATAACACAGATCGACAAAATTTCAACACCTTTCTATTGTCTGAACAATCATATACAATTTTTAAAAAGTTCTTCCCATTGAATTCAAGTCTAACCTTAAAAATATTGGATTCCCTATTGAAAATTCATGTACAAGAAAATGTACATGTTCAGCAGCTGAACTTGTACCAGATCTGGTGCGGAAAATTGCATTTTCTTGCACCAGAATTTGGAACAAGTTCTTGTATTAGATCTATGTTTTCAGCATAGAGTAATAAGGAATCGGAACTTGTTGCTTCGCAACTTATACGATATATTTTTTTCTACGACTGTTTTGCTACTCTCAATTGTTCAGTTAAAATTCAGAAAAAGGTACTACTAAATTATATGACGATTGTAAAAGAAGGGACTACGTTCAGAGGATTAGGATAATTGCTCTCTAACTTTAATAACATAACCTATACATTCTCGCTCAAGTTTGTTTGTGTAATATAGAAATCATTAAGGGGTTACACGATTTATATTTTCTCCATCTTTTTTCGTTTTTGGGTTCTTAAAAGGAACCAATCAAGTAACTTTTTTCTCTTCCTTACCAACTTTAAACTTGGAAACTTTCCTGCCATCTTCAAGTTATTTGATTCTTGTTACATCCCGATACCAAAAAATTCTTTAAAGAATGGATCTTGAACAAATTTAATTATCTCTTTTAAATAAAGGTCATTATATGTACATATGAGTCACTCACGATGTTAATAGTGAAAGATAGATGTAATATAACACCTCTGAATGCGGAAGACTCGCATAAAGCAGATGTGTTATATATATAGTAGATTAAAGAATTTAATAAGATCATTAATTTTAACTCGATATTAATATTATTTTTCATACTACCAATTATTGTCAATCACTATACATCCTAAGTGACTACAATCAACTTAATAATCAATAGGAAAACTAATGAAGATATATAATAGTTTTGATTGTCATTACTAAATTAAATTAAACATTCAATTCATAGACGTAATAACGAAAAAAACTTTGATACTTTATACGTGCTGTATATAAATCGGCAAGAATACGTGACTTTTGCGCTATTAAGATACTGAACGTGAATTTTGCGGTTTTTGCAAAGTATGATGCATCAATGAATTAGTATATATAAACCCCATTTTTCTATTAGAATTGTCAGCTAATCGGACGAGCTTCTGCACGAACAGTGTCTGAGAATCGGCTCTTCATTTTTGTAATTGTTTAAACTTCGTTATTTAAACCCGATATTTCAGTGAATTTTACAAAAATTTTGTAAAAGAGAAACAAGTTTCTTTTTATTTTAAACAATATAATTTTTTTGTTCGAGTTAAATAATTCTTAACTGTCGTATAAAATCTAAATTGTGTAAGTGTAACAATTTATGATTTGTATAACAACGCATCCAGAGAAACATATTTGTAATCCTGATTGCCGCTTGTTACATTATTGTTTCACCGAACCAATTGTAAGTACTATTATAATTATATAATGTTATTAATAAATTGCAAATCATAAAAAGGAATATTTTTCTTTAATTGTTTGACACAAAACCCATAGTTTTGACAAAGTGACACGATCCTACATTAAAAATAAATAACAGGCTTTACCAAAACCTGATTAATCAGCAACTTGTCTCCAATTTATTAATGTAAATAATAAATAAATTCTATCTTAGCTCGGGACATGAAAATTCTATCAAGCATCTGAAGAATTCAATTTAATCTCACAATATTTACTAAACGACGATGTTAAAAAAATCCAAATGATTCCAATTATATATACTGAGTAATTTTTCGATGTATGATACATAATCTTAAAATATATTTCATTCACGTTTTTCCTTGCACGCACTCAAGCAAGTTTTGAGATTGATGGAATAGAATTATTTCTATATTACTTTTTAGAAATATAAAATATTGTTTAAATTAACATACCTTTGGATTGGAAAAAATGTCACTATACACCACATGCACTCGTCAGAAGTCCATCCAGATGAAAAAGACCGGAAAATTACGTTGAAATTTTCATGTCACAGTTGACTTTTACACATTTCTTATAATGAATTTACACATTGAATTTTCATCAATCACAGTAAGTTTACACATTATTTTAGATTACACTTTCATTGAATTTTCAATCGTTGTACCATTGCAATTTTATGTCAACTGTTGTTTCCTATTAAAAATTGAATAAATATGGTAAAGTTAAAAGGATTGACCAATTTTTCAAAAAAAAATTCTTCCAGTATAATTAAGGATAGTGGCGGCGCTTGCCACTATCGTGTTTAATTAAAATAATACTATTTAAGTTTTACTAAGTTTATTTCGACTAATTGTCTACATCATACATTTATTAAAAATCTACAGGAAGAAAGTAGTACATATATTTTCCACTATTCTGGATTTAATCTCTTGCCTGTAAAATAATTTTTATTTGGTTTGGATTACAATACAGTGATCTTAACAAGCAAGAAGTTTTGAATGGCGTTTTCCAAAACACCAACGATGAAATGGACCTGTCACATCTAATTGAGCTGACCAATAACGTCTCACAGCTTCATTGATTTCGGAAGGAGAAATAGGCTTCATAATAGAACTCTGCAAAAAAAAACAAAACAACAATTGAAAAGTAAAATAAATACTGTATATACATAAATTAAAAAATAAAAGATTGATTTTAATTACCTTACTTTGTTGATGAGTCTTAAATGTTTGAGGATTGCAATAACTTATCTTTAATCTATCCAGAGCGTCACCGTAAATTTTATTTTGATCTTGACGTACTAGAAAAGCTAAATCTATAATTTGAGCAACAGTTTCATATGCAAAATAGCTCAAAATAACGTATCCTTGTTTTGATATGCTTACATCACCTGAAATACAAATAAACATTTCTTTATGTATAAAACACATTATTGCATCGCATCGTAGGAAATGAAAAAAATTACAGGTGTTTTAAAAAAAGAAAATTGTACTCAGGGTCAACCCCTACTGTCTAGGTTAGTAATTACCTAAAAATACAAACGCAAACATAAAAATTTGGCTAAAAGTAAATTCTATTAAATGAAAATTATAACAAATTAACTTTAGAGCTTATTCATGCGTCTCTATAATACAGTAAAATAAAATATAAATTCACCATTGGGAATAATCCAATCACTAAATTTGTGACGATGTCTGTTGACGAAAGAAACATTTCTTGCTTTGGAATAATCTATGTATCGTGCCTCATCAAGATTTTTTGACATGATTTCTGCACGAACGCATCTATTATATTTTACATCATCAACTGAAGTCTTATTATTACATATCTCTCCTGTAGTATCTAAAGTTTCTAGAAATGTTTCCCAAAGTTTTTTAGACTTTTTAGATTCTTCCATTTGTTTAATATCTGATAATTTGTCAGTCGGTTCAGAATTAGTAACTTTATAAATAGATGATTTAAATTCTTTCAAATCTGCAAAGAAATTTGATACTAAATAGACAGAAGAATTTTAGTAGGGTAGTACCAAAAGCAAGTAACTTCAAAAATATTTTTTGTTTAGATTTGTATTGTAATAAATTATATCAAACTAATCCTTTCTTACCAAGATACTTTATCAGACGCTGTAATTTAACTGTATCCTTTCGGAGAAGAAATATAAAATCTTCAGCATTGACGGTATTACTACCTCTTTGTTTAGCAACTTCAAAGGCATCTTTGACAATTGATCTCATTTGGCGTAAAACAATATCTTCTACTATTCTCGCTGAATCTATTAGAGGTTCAGAACAGTCGCCAAAACCATGCATCATTTGTTGAATTTCTGTAAAGTTATTAGTATGCTAGATTCAACTCTTTAACGATTAGATGTACTACTAAAATTTTTTTAAAAATATTTCAAAAACTCTGGGATTTAATTGAAACTTGATAAGCGGAGGTTTTTTGGAAACGCTAACAACGAATCTGAAGTCAAATTCCAAAAATTTAACACTGAGCCAAAATAGGGACTCGACATAGCACAAAATATTGCAGAAACCTTTTTCTAAGCATAAAACTGCATTCGGCAAAATGTTATTTGGGAATATAGTCAATCGGTATAATTTACATCAGGGAAAATGGTCGGATACCGTTTTTAAGATCGCTGAATTAAAATAAAGTCAAATTTTCAAAATTCAAATAGCGGATCCAACATTGCAATCGATTTTAAAAATATGATCAAGTTATTCAATCAAGATCTTCAATAGAAATTAGTCGTTTCGAGCCCGTTTTCACCGTGTGGATAAATTTAATCTTCCGAAAGGTTAAAGGCAGTTGATATACTCTGCGTCTGCGCAGCATGTTTGTATACAGTGTAACGCGGCATTTTGTCCCGTACAATTAACCTAAAATAATATAAATTATTCGATACTTAGTAAATAAATGACATTAGAGTGGGAATCCAGACATAATGGCTGTAAAATGTTTGCCAAAGTGGTCAAATAAACAGTCAATCTAGAAAAAAATATATATCGGTTCTGATTTGTCTTTTTGTTTTGTTATAAAAAAACTCTCGCGAGGCATTGAGGATTCTCGTTGGATTACAAAGAGGTTAAAGACATCACTATCGATCATTAAATTGGAATTCATTAAGGGATGAGCATCCTGCTGTATATATCTATTCGGATGTGAGTCCCGAATATTCAAGAACACCAGGAAGACGAAAATGCTGTTTTGTTGATGATACGTCAAAATACTACCGGAAGCCATTTTCCTATAGACTTCTCAAATTAATCAATTCAACATCGGATAGTTCAGGAATCTGCGTTACCGACGGTGCATATCGATTGCAGATATTGTATTGAATATTAATTAATCTAAATTACACCGAGAAGAGAGGTCGGTGACTAGCGACGCTTTCGAGTTTGACTCGTCGGACATTTTATTCTCATTCTCATCCTGGTATTTGTCGAGTTAGTGCAAAGTTAGTGTCATTCTCTTTTGGTAAAATATTTCAAAATTTTAAGTGTAAAATTCAGACAAAGTAGTGGTGGTTTCCTTCCGAATCGATCTCACTAATATCAAAATTGAATATTTCTAAATTAAAAATATAAATCTTATCTTTCGGCCTTCTGACAATTTTTTTGATTATTTGGCATATATAAATTTGAAGTGAAAATTAATCAATAATGTTATTATTATAAATTTTGTGAAATTAATGGTGTTTATCCTTATACCACCTCTTCGCGGTGTGTTATTGGTGTAAGGTAACAATAGAGTTCCAGAGCTGATTTTTCCTATGTAAAATTATAAACATTTACTTTGTCGGGTTACTTAACTATTTTCTAGTTTAGTTGTTTTCCATAAAATAACTTGTCGTCTGGCAATATTAAAAATTAAATAAGTCTAGATAACGTGTTTTGAGTAGTAAATATAAAAATAATTAAAATATACTAATCTCAAAAATCTACGTTATAACAGCTGTATACAGCTTCTTCGTAGACGCAGAATATATCTTCTGCCTTTAACGTCTCGGAAGATTAAATTCATCCACACGGTGAAAACGGGCTCTTAGTAGTTACAATAGTTAGGATATAACTTACCATATAAATAATTAACTGATTCACTTTTAAAACCATGACAATTAGATGATAACTTTTGACCAGAGCCTTCTGACATAGTGATTGTTTAAAATAAAACGTTTACTGGATTATATTTTTGTAGCCGAAGATAAAGTAAATGTACCAAATGAATATAAGATTATTTTACAGTCTAGAGACAAAATGTCGAAAAGTAATTGTTGATACACGAAAATACTTGACATAAGTGATAAGTCATGGTTGACATTTCAGCATTGTTCAGTAGTAACATTTTAGTATTGCCCATACACTGAAACAGATAAATAAAGGCATTCTATTTACTTGAATGTTTATTGCAGTTTATAAAAATACAGTCTCGTGTTGATGAAAAGTGAAAATGCCAGAAGTAAACCTAAAATTAGTATAGGTATATATGTAATTTGTATTCTTCATTTTTTTATTCATTGTAAAAATGTATTAAATTATTTAATTTGTAAATTTATTTTTAAAGGATCTCTTTGGTCTAAGACTTCAAATAATATTGTTTATAATATTTTAACAACATGAAACAAGATCGATATTTCAACTTTTTCTAAGGGATATCATTACTTCACTTAATACAACAGAAATGGGGAAACAATATAATTTTCGTCATATTTGCGAATATACTTTATATTACAAAAAAAAGTAGAAAATAAATTTCATATCTAGTAGTTTCTTACTGCAAGAAATTCTATAAACTACAAGTTTGAGACGATCATTTTGCTTTCACTACGCTTTAAGTAACAATATCTTCTTCTCTTAGTTGTAAAATTTTATAAACAAAGAAAATGATTATTCGAAGCTCTAGTATTTGTTTATTTTTACTCGTTAAGTTTATCGCCGGTGGAAAAATAAAAACTAATGACTGTACGCATGTGTTAAACAGTCACAAGGAGAAGAATTCAAAACCGTATCAAGTGGTGTTATTAAGCAATCAGGATACCTATTCGATTTTAAACAAGGTAATTGCGACAGTATTACAAAACTTGCCTTACCTTCAAATTGATGTTCAGAAAATGTCATCAGAAGATTTAAAACAATCAATGAGGTCACCATCCTTCTACACTTTAAGAAAGACATCTTTGTTTCTGCTAGTAAATACTTTTGATAATAGTCCAAATCTCACTAACATTTTATCACCTTTGAAGTATTTAACAAATCTTTCACCAGGTAAAGATCGTCCTAAAGTACTGCAAATTTTCACAACCAATGGAAAATCTTCTTTCAAATTATTTCTCCACAAAATGTGGTTAAGTCACTTTCTCGATTTTACAGTTTTTGAAATAAGAAATGTCCAGCAAAAGCTGTACTCTCGAAAATTGGAATCATTCAAAACGTTAGTTCATCATTATAATCCTTTTACTAACAAATATTTTAAGAAAATGTGTTCTTTAACAACAATTTGGTTTCCGAACAAGCTATTAAATCTTCATGGTAATCAAATCAAGGGTGAATTATATTTTATACCACCGTTTAGTTTAGCTACATATAATAAAGTTGGACATTTACAAAGCTGCAGCGGTGCAGATGTAGACATGTTCAATAGTTTATCAGAAGCAATGAATTTTTCCACGTATATCGAATCTGATGTCAATTCTACAATTGGAACTTTTCATGGAAATGAAGCAACTGGAATGTTGGAACTGCTTATAAATAATAAAAAAAATATTGTTATTACCAGCACAATCAATTTTCGACCATCTACCGAAGGTTGCTTATACGGGTTTTCAACAAATTTCGATGTAGTATCAATTGTTGCATTCGTACCAATATCGCATAAAAATGTTGACGAGCAGTTCCTAAATTTTAAAGTTCTGTGGTTTAGAATATTATTGTACATTGGATTTGTCATCGTAATGTGGACAGTTATAGTTAACATCGATAATGAAGAAAATTCTTGGAAACCAGAATACATTGCAGCCATTATATTAGGAGTAACAATACCAAAACAACCCAACCCTATTCAACATCGGATTGTCTTTCTATACTTCATAGCGATTGGCTTCTATTGCTCCATTAGTTTCCTAGGAGGCCTAACCGCCAGTAAAGTAAAGATATCCGATGAGGTACAACTCGAGACATTTCAGGATTTAGCTAAATCAAACTTAAGACTATACATTTATACAAATATTGATAAATATCTTAATGATGATTCAGAAGACTTACAGATTCTAAGAAAGAAAGTTGTACCTACTCCTTACGTGGACACTGAATGCATTGCAATGCTCATCAAATACAGAAATGTTAGTTGTTTGATATTTGATTCATATGCAAGACTGTTAGTTGAAATATTCAAAGATGAATCTGGACATCCAATAACAAAAATTCTCAAACCAATTATTTTTAACACAAGAAGAGTCATTGTTTGAAAAAGAATAGTAGTAGTACAAGTCACTGATTTAGGTTCTGTTTCCAATTTGTAGAAGATACTAATCTTAGTGGTTTTATCTGGATACTTGCTTTCGTTTCTTGTTTTTGCTGCCGAAATATTTTGTCACACTTAGAAAAATTTTTCCTAGAATACCTGATGTAAATACAAACTTTTAGACTTATGCTGTTTCTGCACCAAATGAAGTATAAATCCCAAAAAATTGATCGGATTAATTTGAAACTTGATACCCAGAGGTTTTTGGGGTTGCTGATTATGAATCTGGCATTGGATTTTAAAAATTCCAAATTTCGGATTCAATATGGCGGAAAATTTTTTTACTCTTTGCCTATGCTAACTTATCCCCATTCTAACGCCATAGAACGTAATTCCCATAGTTTCCACCAGGCGTCCAGACTGACGATTTCTGACGATGACAGTCGTTAGCACAGGCAGAGAATTAAATGATTATATTTTCTTGAAACTTGTTACTCGGGTGTTTTCAGGGCTACCAATCACGAATTTAATACCAAATTAGTAATTTTCAACTCTGAAAACCCTTAAGTTTTAAGTGAATTCTATCAAATACTTAAATTTCTTCAGACATATTGTATCCGACATTTTGACTTTCAGAAATCTGATATCAAATTCATAATCAGCAATCACGAATATCCCCTAGTAACAAGTTTTAAGGGAATCTGATCAATTTGCCTCCTCACAAAGAAAGTATTGTATTGGTGAAAATTTTTTATTGCTATTTTTTAACTTATTTCGATAATATTAGACCTTAGAGTTCAATAATTATGTTTTTGAAAAATGTTCCTATGTGTGTATGTGTGTTTGTGTCAAAATTACATTTGCCTCAATATCTCAGAAACAAAAAGAGCTCCAAACATGAATTTTTTTTTAAATTACCCAAGCAGCACGGTATATTCTCTGAATATCCGTTGAAAACCACAGTGGAATATTCTCATGATCTTCTAGGAAAATCAAAATGTCTGCATCATGGGAATATTCCATAGTGACATTCAGGGTATATTCCAGTGACATTGAGGGAATATTCGTCGGTGACATTCATGGAATATTCCAGTGACATTAAGGGGATATTCAGGTGATATTGTGGAAATATTCCAGTGATATTGAGGGAATATTCCACGGTTACATTGAATTTTTTTAAAATGTGTTTTTAATCTTCCTGCTTATTCAAATGACAATTTGTAACACATTTCTATTATTTCAACACAAAAAAAAATTCAATATAACCGTGGAATATTCCCTCAATATCACTGGAATATTTCTTTAATATTACCTTCAATGTCACTGGAATATACCCTGAATGTTACTGTGGAATATTCCCATGAAATTCCCACTTTACGCACCGAAATTTATCTCACATAATATAAGAATTGTTTTAGACCATACAAAACCACAAAATTAAAGAAAGAACTTTACTTTTAAATTTATACACTACTTGTTAATGATATTTTTCCTGATCTTCGATTGATTTTTTTAATTCTATACAATCGAAATTATTCTAATAGAGAGTTGGAATTCTTCATAATAGGTACTTAACTTTAGAGGTGGGTGTTGCAAAAAATGTTGTATGATACACGTGCGTAAATCTGATTATACTCGTGTGATTTGCATCACTCGTATAATCACTCACTTTACGCACTTGTATCATCAATAACTATTTTTGCTCACAACTTTTAAAAAATGTTAGGACACATATAGATATTTTTCTTTCAATTTGTAGAGTTTTTCATGACGCATCTTTTAACCATTTAAAGAAAAATTTTTAAAAATTGATTTTTTTGAATTTTTTATTTAGAAATGTTTATTTAACCTTTAAAATATCTTTATTTATTTATTTATTTTCAAATAAACGGGTAAATATTTTAAAATGCATCGATTGAACTGTTTGCGAACATTTTACTGTAAAATATTACGTAGTTATTAACGTTATAAAAATAAGAAAATGGAAAACGTAATTTTATGTGGTTTTAAATATTTGTTTCAGAATTTGTAAAAGCTTTACATACACACCAATTAATTCATTTATGAAACCTTATATGACACAAAATTAAAAATAATATATTTACTTTAAAAATTTTAAATTAAAAAAAAAATTTTTTAGTTCTAAATGTCCCTGTTAGTTTCATTTTGATTTTTCATTGTTAATTCATTGTTGAATCATTGTTCATTTAATTTTGAAAATAAAATTCTTAAAAATATGAGTTACAAAAATAAAATAAAGGTCTCGTTTTCAATAAAATTGGCTAACCACCAATCAATAATTAAAATAAATAAATATTTTATTTCATATTTTACTGTTTAAGGTCAACTTTTTCAAACCAATTAATCCAAGTTTAAATTTTTGATTAACTAATCATAATTTAATTGTTCACACTCAAATTTCATTTAAGAAATCTATAGATGTTTTTTTTCTTTCATCTTGGCGAATCTTTCAAGACGCTTTTAATCTACTGTTATTTTATTCAGAGTTTTTAAATTTTTGTAATTAAAAAAAATGATATGACCTATATCTCTATGAGAAAGCATGTATTTATCAAAAATTTAATTATTCTATTTAAAGGATTATAAATTTAGTAATCTCTAAATCTGAATTAGTAAAAAGTGAGTAACTAATTTAAATTATTAACAATTTTCACTAATTTTTAGTAACTTTTTACTAAAATCAAATAGTAATATTTTACTAGAAATTAATAAAAATTCTTATTAATGTGAATTAGTAGCTCACTTTTCACTATAATTAAAATTTAGAGAGTAAACTCTATAATATTTTACCAGATTGTGGGGTTTCATTAAAAGAAAATTTTTCTATAAAAATGTGTATATTTATGTTATGCATGCGACAAAAATATAAATTGTTAAATTATTGATTTTAAGGCAATTGAGTATGGAAAAGCTTAATTGCTAACCGAAAGCGCTTATGAACATCTATTTACCTGTAAATTTAATGTAAAAAAAACTAAAAATTATCCACTACACTCGACACTGAATAATTCAATTAATTCAATCAATATTCTGAAATTTTATTACAAATAAAAATCTTTTCTCTTCTTCAATTTCGAAAAGTGGTAAATTTTTTTTTAATTTTCTTATATATATGGATATTTTTTTATTATAAAGTTTATTTGTAACAAAAAAAATTCAAATATTTGAAATTCTTGTGTAAAAAATTAAATTACATTTTCTATTTCTTTATTTCTCTTAGAATTTAAAAACAATTTACAGGTTATGTACATACATGTAAAATTTAAAATAAAGTAAAAATTAATATAATATTAATGTTTCACTTTTGTGTACAGTTTACGATTTGAAGCAAAAACAAATTGTTTTCTTAATAAATTAATTTCATGATATATAACAAAAAATAAAAAAAAAATAAAAATTTTTGTATAAACAAAATTTGAAAATATATGTAGCAGAGCTGTGCAATGTTCGAATCGAATCGAATTTTGTTCGGTTTTTAATGACCCTGACTCGAATTTCGAACTTTCGACATTCGAACTGGACTGACTCGAATGTCGGATTTCGACATTCAAACTGGGCTGACTCGGATGTCGAATTTTTGAAATTCGAACTGGGCTGACTTAAATGTTGAATTTCGACATTAGAACTCGGCGTAAAAATTTGTACAGTTCGGTTCGATTTATTTTGCACAGGTCTAATTTTTTTCGATTTTTTTAGATAGAATGTTTTCCTGGAAAATGAAAAAATCCCTTACAAAGTCAAATTTAATTAAACAGCATATCCCTATTATTTTTGTACCTTAAAAGAACACGTATTACCTTTAAAAAAACCTACCAATTGAACCTACATTGCAATAGAATAAGAATAATCAATTTTTTGCGATTTTTTTAGATAGAATGTTTTCCTGGAAAATGAAAAAATCCCTTACAAAGTCAAATAAAATTAATCAGCATCTTTCTATTATTTTTTTACCTTAAATCAACACGTATTACCTTCAAAAAAACCTACCAATTGAACCTAAATTTCAATAGAATAAGAATAATCAATTTTTTGCGATTTTTTTAGATAGAATGTTTTCCTGGAAAATGAAAAAATCCTTTACAAAGTCAAATAAAATTAATCAGCATGTTTCTATTATTTTTTTACCTTAAATCAACACGTATTACCTTCAAAAATCTACCAATTGAACCTAAATTGCAATAGAATAAGAATAATCAATTTCTTTTAGTGCTGTGCAATGTTCGAATCGAATCGAATTTTGTTCGGTTTTTAATAACCCTGACTTGAATTTCGAACTTTCGATATTTGAACTGGACTGAGTCGGATGTTGGATTTTCGACATTCGAACTCGGCGTAAAAATTCGAACAGTTCGGTTCGATTTATTTTGCACAGGTCTAATATGTAGCTTTGGAATTTTAAGTATAAATGCTTAATAACAGTTTAACACTGTCGTAATTTTGTCAATTTTAAAAATGGAAAAGAAAGTCTAGTACCAAATTAAAAAATCAAAATAGTCAGGTACTGATTTTTGAAGATAATAGAAATTTGAAAAAAATTATCTAGTTGTTTCGCATAAAAACCTAAATTCTCAGAATGCTCGTAACTTTATAGAAAAATAATTTCTGCCAAAAAAAAATTGTCTTTGAACTAAAGAACAATAAAACAATAAAAATCGCATGAAACATCTATTTTCCCATATCAAAACAAATAAAATGTATTATACTTATTTTATCTGTCTTGTTATTATATTTAAGTATATTTATGTACTTTTGACAATTTATTTTTGAGTCAATTTTATCATGCATATTAATATTTTTTGCTTCTTCAAAATCATCTATTACTTATTTGAATTTATGTAAAAAGTGTACGTGAAAAACTTTTTAAAAAATACTTAAATATTAATTAAATATATTTTAACATAACTATACATTACATACCTCCTAATTATTAATTAAAATAAAATCGATAACTTTACTAATTTTTGAAGAAAAGAACTCAAAAAACATTAATATTTAATCAAAGTTGATAACTTTTGTTTTTTTCTCCGCTATAAACAACTTAGTCCTCAAGCAAGTGAAATGTTTGAATGTTTTAATTTACACTACTTACCTAACCTTACTTCACTTAATGTAAATAAAGGTCAACGCACAGTAGTCGCGTCGCTGCTGCCAATCGACAGGGTTGAGTAACTTATAATACTTGGTGTAGAATTGACCAATTAGAAACAGTTTTTAAAAAATCCAATCATCTGATTGGTCAAATCTGTTCTTACTACTTTCGCGAAACTATTGTGCGTTGGGCTTTAAAGTTGACCAGAAAAAGCAAACGTTGGGAGTGTTTTTTTGTTTTGTTGTTAATAAATTTATAATAATAATTTTGTAAATCATCAAAATGTCATTATTAGATAAGAGGAAAGGAGATGATATTCTCGCCCTGGTGCCAGCATCGAAGAAAACAAAGACTGAAGTTGTTTTTAGCAGCAGGGAAAAAGCGGTTATTCAAAGTGTATGTTTATAACCTCTAATTTGTTTCATTTATCTTGATTAACTCTTTAAATAATTTGAAAAATAGTTAATGTTAATGTTATTTTCAATTATTGATATATTTAAATTTACATGACATGGGAATAATTGTAATTTTTCTCATACTTTAATCGCATAGTACTAATTTGCAAAAGTTATAGGTTATGTTGTATTTGTTATTAACGAACTTAAGAATTAATTAATATTTTAGGGCCCACCTAGAACATCAAGTTTAACTGCACCAATTATGATCCTTGAGGGTCATCAGGGTGATGTTTTTTCTCTTGAATTTCATCCTGAAGGACAATATCTTGCTTCGACAGGATTTGATCGACAAATTTGTGAGTAGAAACATTTATTTCACTTTCTTTTCCATTTTTTCAACTGATTTTTTTTTGTTTTCATTATTAATCAAAATGTTAATACATGTAAATTAGGTATTTTTCACGTTAATTGGATTTAACTATTAGTTTTGTCACTTATTTTCTGTAAATCATTCATCTTTTCTCCTATTTTCAAGAAAAAGGTACTGCAATTTTTGTCTTGTCTTTTTTCTTATTTTAATTATCTGTTTTTTCACTTTTATCATTCTTCTAATTCCGAAAATTGAAAAAATTAATTCTTTCAGATATCTGGAATGTCTATGGTGATTGTGAAAATGTATCGGCAATGTCGGGACACAGTGGTGCTGTAATGGAAATTCATTTTAGTCCCGATGGTAGCCATTTGTATACAGCGAGTACAGACATGACATTAGGATTATGGGATTTTGCTCTAGGAACGAGAATAAAAAAGCTCAAGGGACACACATCATTTGTGAATTCAGTTTCAGGTGCTCGTCGAGGACTCACTCAATTATGTTCTGGCAGTGATGATAGTACAATAAGAATTTGGGATCCACGAAAAAGAGGACAATGTTTTACATTAAATAACACTTATCAAGTGACGGCGGTGACTTTTAATGATACAGCCGAACAAGTTATTAGCGGTGGAATTGATAATGACATTAAAGTTTGGGATTTAAGGAAGAATGCAGTTCTTTATAAAATGAAAGGTCACACGGATACAATAACAGGACTCAGTCTAAGTCCCGATGGCTCTTATATTTTATCGAATTCCATGGACAATTCACTTAGAATTTGGGATGTTAGGCCTTTTGCACCTTATGAACGATGTGTTAAAATTCTCAGTGGTCATCAACATAATTTCGAAAAGGTAACAGTTTTTATTTATTATTATTCTTAATTAATATTAATATATAAATTAACATTAAATTATAAATAATTAATATAAAAATAATTTATTGTAGTATACAAAATTTACAAGTTTTTTTATAGTGAATTTAATTTTCTTTCGTAGAATTTATTAAGATGTGCCTGGTCTCCGGATGGAAGTAAAGTTTCATCTGGTTCCTCGGACAGATTTCAGTATATTTGGGATACAACGAGTCGTAGAATTCTTTATAAACTCCCAGGTCATAATGGATCAGTGAATGATATTGATTTCCATCCCAAAGAACCAATAGGTATTTTAAAATTATTTATATTTAATTTTTAAAAATTAGTTAGCTAATTATTATTATTATATTAACAATTAATATCGTGAATATTTTATTTTCAGTTTGCTCAGGATCCAGTGACAAACAAATTTATCTCGGCGAAATAGAAATTTAATTATGTAACAAAATTATTGCATCAATAAGATTAAACCTATTCATATAGAGAATTTATTTGTAATTTACAATATATGCAATGTTTATTATTTACAAAAAAAAGTAACAAATGAAATGAGAAAATTAATTTTAAATTATTATTAACAATATTTGTTAATATTTTTTTATTGTAAGTAATTGTATTTATATAATAATTGTATAAATAACATTGTATCGCATTATAAATATGTAAGTTTTTTTTTTATAAATTAAAGAACATTTTATAAAAAATGAAAATGGACTTTTCATGTAAAATTCAACCAATAGAATTTGGAAAAAATGGAAGAAAAGCAGAATATGCGACCAATGAGAAAATAGAGAGAGAAAGGGAAGGGGAAAGGTATTCTTCTCTTTGTAGTTCGTGTAGTGAAGGTCGCACATATTTATTATTGATTTTAATTGTTATTTTTAATTAATTTATTAAACCATTGTTATAGTAAAAAATAGAGTTTATTTATTATTATCATAACTATATAGAATTATTAATCATGTAAGTAAAAGAAGATTTATTGTTATTTTCATATTTGTTATGTATTCGCATTTTGACACGTTTTTTAATGATAAATCTTTATTTTTGAAATTAATTACAAACAAAGGTCATACAATTTTAATATTTTATTGCACAAGGGAGTAATAAACAAATATTTTTAAAGAATATTACTTTAAAAATATTGAACATAACCTCTCTTTTTGTGACACAATATAGTGTAATTTTTCTTTTCTATATTTAATCCATTTAATAAATATAAAACTAAGGGATAAAAATAAGGTTTTTATTTTCTTTTTAGATACACAATGTCTTCCCCGTGGTTAAAAATCCAGCCAGTAGAAGGTCCGATTAGTTTCGATGAAATAACTTCTGAGGAATTGGCCAAAAGTTTACAAGAAAAGTAAGTTTTTTTTTAATTATAAAATATTTCCTAATTGTAACGAATTATATATTATTATTATTATAAATAAGCTTCATTAAAAGAAAAAGATGTTATTTTCTTAAAATAAAAAATAGCTCATATATGAATAAATTTCAGGGAAATTGAAAAATTCGTGGAAACAATAGAAGATAATAATGATGTAAAAGAAAAATTGGATTTATTCGAAATCGATGGAACAGATAGTGATGAAGTTATTGCACATATGTTGCAAGCTCAATATAATTCTGAGCACGATTTAGAATTGAAACGAACTGAAAATAAAGTCAATCGTAATTCAAAAGGTTTGTATTTATACAATGTTTATTTTTAATGAGACGTAAAATTTTTCAAATAAATAAATTTAAATCAATTTAAATATTTTTTTTACAGTAAATATTTTATACTCAAACTATCGTGTAGGACCTATTGAGCCCGAAGTTACAAAACCTGCCGTTGATGAAAACAGAGATATCGATCATTTTGTTGTGAGCAATTGAATTTCCTATTTTTTAATTTTAATTTATTTCCTAAAAAAATTAGATTCGTTTCTTACATAAATATTAATGCTGGTAGTTTTGAAAAAAATTGTCTTTTTTTAATATTTAAAATTAAAAAAGACGAATTGTTTTAAAAACATTGGAAATATTTCTGATTTTTAAAATCAAAAGAAAAAATGTATTTTCAGGAAATAGAGAAAGAATACGCTTCTCTGCAACGTTGTGGTTACAAGAAGATTATTAACGACGAGGAAAAATCACAAATTGTGACGAAACATGATATTCTTATGTCATCGAGAATGAATGCATGTCGTGTACTTGAATTTCCGCCAGGAATTGAAACTGGAGACACAGGAGGATTTGACGTAAAATTGGGAAATCGAGTCTTTAATGACTTACGTGCCCACAGTCATGCTCATTGTTCCAGACAAAAGAGCAAAGCAAAAAATCACGTGAAACCTAAAAAAAATCCATAAATACTTATCGAAATTAATATATATATATATTTTTATAAAAATTATTATTTTCAATATCAATTTAATTTACCTAGTTTCTTTCTGCCACAAAATACAATTAAATTGTTAAATATAAAATACGAATCTATACGAATTGAATAAGATTTTTCGTTTTTTTTTTTACACGGTTTCACTGTAAAACAGAAAACAAATAAACTTGTTTGTATCCATAATAATTTGTTTCTTAATTAATCTTAATTAAATATAATATTGCAAAAATTAGAAAAAATATAACTTTGTAGAAATAGTAAAAGAAAAAATTATTTTATTCAATAAAAATTTTTTTATTTTCTCTAACAAAAGAAACTATTTACATTTAAATCAAAGAAATTTATGAATGATGAATATATATATAAATATTCATTAAATAAGCTTAATATTTTTTTTTCCAAATAATTTAAACTAAATTTCGAAAAAAAAGAAGTGACAAAAATCATAACTAACTGTACAAATATTATTTTACGAGGCAAATATCACTATTTTTGTTGAATTATTTAACAACTAATGCTGGATGATAAAAAAAATTAATTTTTTTTCATATTTTAGAAAATTGAAAAAACAAACGTTTGTAAACGTAAATTTAAAAAAAAATCGTTTAAACAAACGTTTTTTCCTTTTTTTGTATTATCCAATTATTCGTTAAATTTCTTTCAAATATACTTCAACTGAGTTCTTTAGTTGGTACTTGAAGTGGTATTTTGCCTAATGTGAATTTCTCTTGTAAATAACAATTCTTTTGATCGTCGGTCAATATTCCCTCTGCTGAATATGTGAGTTCATCAAAAATTGGCGCAATTGAAAAAACACCGCCAATGGATTTTGTAAATGGACCATCGGCATAGGTGTTTTGTTGTGTATTACCAAATGGAGAACTAGTCACACTTGTGACACTTGTAAATGGATTTGACGTAACTGTTGTCAATGTTGTTGTATTTGCATTTGAAAACGATGCATTTCCAAAATTAATCTGCGCTCCAAATGGAGGCGGTGCAGTGACTGGAATTCCAAATCCCGATGATGAACTATCGGTAGCAGTGACTGTTTGTCCAAATGGTGTTGTTTGCGAGAAAGGAGCAGTGGTGGCTGTTGAAAATGGTCCACTGGTCGAAGCAAAAGGTGTCGTTTGACCAAAAGCAGCGCCTCCCGTCTGTCCAAATGGTGTACCTGAAGAAGCAGTCGTTTGTCCAAAATTTGTACCACCGGCAGTTGTTGTCTGTCCAAATGGTATTTCAGCGTTTGCCACCTGTCCAAATGACGAGCTAACGGCCATTGTTGTTTGACCAAAAGGTGCACCACTAACGGCAGTAGGTTGACCAAAAGAATTACCACCAAATGCTGTCGCTTGTGATCCACCGCCAAAAATATTCGTCCCCGTTGAATTAAAAGTATTCGTCGTAGAACCAACAAATAAACTATTTGTCGTCGCCGGTGTATTTACAAAAGATTGACCACCAAATATAGATCCCGATTGTGGGGCACCAAATGCACTTGTCCCACCAAAAACAGGAGCACCACCAAAAGTTGATGTTGTCGTTGTCGATCCAAAAGCAGGCGCTGCCGACGATGTTGTTCCAAAATTATTTCCTGAATTTCCAAAAGCAGTGCCGGCATTACCAAAACTTGGTGGCGCTGAACCGCCAAATGTATTTGTTGCATTGTTTCCAAACACTGACGTTGTTGAAACTGTTGACGGTCGAAGAAAGGAATTATTTTGCGATGTTCCAAATGCTGAAGCCTGACCAAAAACTGCACCACCAGCACTGGTGGCACCTCCTCCAAAAACTGAAGAATTTTGCGAAGTACCAAATGATTGTGTTGTTTGTGCTGCAAACGATGGTGTCGTTGATCCACCAAATATTGATGTTGTACTACTTGGAGTCGCTCCAAATACTGAATTACTGCCAAATGCCGGTTTTGATCCAAATACAGATTGTGAATTTGTCGTTGTTGATCCGCCGAATATTGAATTGCCACCAGTTGAACTGAAATTACCACCAAAAGGATTACCGGAAGTACCAAATGATTTTCCTCCAAAAACATTAGAATTTGAAGTCGTATTTCCCAATTGTGGTGTTGCAAACGAAAAATTTGATTTTGACGGCGTTGAACCAAATCCAGTTTCTTGATTGCTTTTCTGAAGATTTTCCTGTAAAATCAAATTAAAAAAAAAAAGTTTCTCAAAATTAAAAACAAAATTGAATTTTTCTTTTCAACTAAATCACTCACCAACATTGTTACTAGTTGTGGTGTTGGATTTTTAAGCGCATCTCGTTTCGCCTTCATTTCTTGACAGAGTTGTTGAAATTGTATTTTCTATAAATTTACAAATATTTATCAAACTAAAATTATTAGCGGGAAAATTCTTTCTTATTGGATTTATTTCTAAACGTCGAAAACAATTTATCACAGAAAAGAAAATCAATGATTTTTTAAATTAATAATTAATTAATAAATAATTTAAAAATAAAGTAGATGTTTTAAACGAAATTATCTTACAACTTGCTCGACAGTGCCCTTTTCTTTTGCTTGATACATTTCCCAACGCACTTCCTCTGGAGAAAGATCTGACATTCCCGGAATACATGGTTGTTCCTTGAATGGTCCAAAACATGACAATAACCATTGTCCACCTCTTTCTGCAGCAAGAATATCTTCGGCCACAAGAAGACTGATTTCACAAATAAATTGAATGTAAATAAAGGAAAGTAAAATACAAAAGAAATTTACAATAAATTAAATACTCACGTAATATTCTTTCCATCATAGGCCTTCGATCTATTTGCATTTGAACCTACGAGAATATTAAGAATAAAAGTAATTTATTTTTAATTACAACAATGCACGTAATTAAAAATTATAAGAGGTCAATCATCCAATTTTTATAGTTTTCAGTTTCCAAGTACATACCATAATTATTAATATGCTCGTATCTGCAATACTGTCCAAAGCGACAGCTTCCTTGTTGAAAATATTTACACACAACCATTATGTTTATTTATAAAATAACCGTGTTTTTTTAATCATAACATTTGTTTACGTCTTCTACACGGCCTGAACTCAAATCCTGTAAAACATAACCTATAAATAACCGCACGAAGCCGCGAACGGCGTGAACCTTCCGCCTTCTAAGATTATAATAATAATTAAAAAATAAATTTTCTATTGAGGAATGTTAATGAGAAAATGAATTTCAATTTTCGTAACATTTTAAAACAAAGAACTTAAAATATATAAAATAAAATTGAATAGGTTATTCACATAAGTAAAAGAGTTGACATGGTGCTTACATACCAAGCTTAGCAGACGGATAATATTTCTGTTGTTTCTGATACGTAATTGGTTATTTTAATAGTCAATGATTCAGTCACCCAATCAACAATTGGATACAATGGAAAAATTGCCAACTATTAGTTGTAGGTATGAAGGCACCCAAAGGATTTTCAGCGCCGAAATAACAGAAAATGTAAACAAAACAAGTGTTATTCTTCTTTAAAATAATTATAATGTTAAACGTAATTAAATAATAGTAGTGTATAAATAAATATTCCCGTTAGAAATGATTTTGAATAATTATACGTTGTTAACTAAATAACATTAATAAGTAAAAACTATTCATGTGAATCTTCAAAGTTTAAATGGAAAATAAGGTTCCTATCAGCTAAAGGTATTGTAATAACTTATTCTCTTATTTATTCTTATTATCTTTATTTTTATATTTTCATTATAATGATTTATTTTCGAAAAATCAAACTATTCAATTCAAAGATGATCTTTTTAGTCTTGAACATCATTTAGAGTTTGTTCTTCCATCATTTTTTCGAATGTAGCTTCACCGATTCTATTATAAATGTTACAAAAATTTAAAATAACAATTCTTATAATAAATTAAAATATAAAAATTATAATTAAGATTTTAGGGAGAAAATACTCACATTTGTGTTTTATTGTTATTAAAAGTTGCATTATCAACATTATCATTTCCTCTTAATCTTCGACATTCTCTAGCTGTTTCTTGAAGAAGTGCTTCAAATAAAGTCTCAGCATTTCTTCTCTCTGATGCAGGAACTGATGTTTTCTTTAAAATATTCCACATATCTTGAGGAACATGAATATTGTTTCTTTCTCTTTCAGAAGATGACGATCTATCCTCAGCAACTGATAACAATAAAAATATAATCGAATCAAAATTAATGAAATAATTATATGAATAATTAATTATCGCATAACGATATTATTAAATTTAATTTGTGTAATTAAAATTACCTCTCGAAAAATCATGTCTTCTTGTTTTATAATCGAAAGTAAAACTTTCATTGGATTCTGTTTGCGCTAAAGATTTTTCCTCCAATGATTTCTCAATATTTTGAATAATTTCTGTTGTTCTTTCCGCAATTACAGTATCCGCTTTCATTAATAGCTCTTCACCTCCTCCTATTTCGTCTAAGACTTGATTAACAGAAAATTCATCGCGAGATGAAAATGCCCCAAATGTCTGTTGTAATAATTGATTAAATCCTCTGCTTGAAAAGTTGCGAAGCCTTTAGAAATAATAAAATATTGTATTGAAAAAAAAAAAATGTTATATAATTTTGAAAGACAAAAATAATTTTTTGTTTTTTAAATTGAATTTCTGTTTAAAAATATTAAAAATTTTTTTAATTCTCAAGTATTTAGAATTCTTTTTCCATTAATGTCAAAAAAGTAAATTTTTTCCAAATTAAATAATTAAAATATGAATATGTGAAACTAATTTTGTTTTTAAATTAACTGTAAAAACTCACGAATTTCGCGAACTTGTGAGTCCAAAAATTGTAAGTAAAGCAGCCGCAAATGCAATTAAATAGAAAAACATGTTTATTTTTTTTTTTGTAAATTAAAAGCGATGTGTCGGAGCTTCACGTAAAAATGAAAATGGCTAACAGATTAAAACAAAATCATGTCGTTTCTTTCGGTTATCTCTTGTTTTCCCAAATAATTTTAACATTTTTTTTTCAAATTAAATAAAGAACAGTTTTTATTTCACGATTTTTCAAATGATCCTCTCAAATATATATCGTCAATTTACAAAGTCCTTAATACAAAATTCTTAAAGGAGAATATTGTACTCCCTAAAAAAAGAAAAGGAATTATTTGACATTGAAATTAAATTTCTTAAATTTTCAATGAAAAATTCCATCATTAAAAAAAAATTCCTATTTTATTTCAATGAAGTCAAATTTATTTAAAAATTTTAATAAATTTCAAACTAATAGTTTAATTTTCTGAAAATTTAATTTTACTAAAGTAAAAAAAATTCAAGATATTATTAATTTATTATTTGATTTAATTAATAAATATTTCATTATTATTGTTTCTTTTTTATTGCTTTTAAAAAGTTAAACATCTACTCGTTGTTTAAATAAAAATTTCTGAGGGAATTTTTTAATTTTCGCAAACTTTTCAAACACTATTTAATTGATGGAACTTTTCATTGATGATTTGCAAATCCTTTACATATATCGACTCTTAAAGGACTAGAGATACGATCGTACCGTTCATTTTATTATAATATAAGTCGTAAATCGTCGGAGTGCTTTAATCTACAGGATATTTAGTGCAAAGTGTTCTGTGCTCTTGTATGTACAAAGATACATTTTTTTTCTTTTTTTTTTGTTTGACAAAAACACCAAATAATTATAAAAGTGTATGCACGCCGTAATTGAACTCCGAGACACTAAATAATCAAAAGTCGTAGTTAAAAAAAACCTATTGGATACAATTTACTTTTTTTCATTGAATCGAACATAAATGTGCGTTTTCATTTGTTATATATAAATTATATATGAAAATCTACAAATTTTTTTAATAATCGTCGGGGAAAAAAACATTCTGAAAAAATTCGCAAAATGCACTTAAATTAAATTTAATATTTATAATTATTATTAAATGCTAACTAATCATTTTTTAAATTATATATATTAAAAAAAAGCAAATTTTACTACATTTAAATTTTTATTTTTCAAATGTTTAGTTAGCAAAATGTTTACTTACAATATATTATATATTTATATAAATTAATTAATATTAGCCTTTGTATTTTGCATTATGTCCCAGAATTGTCCCACTTAACTTTTTTTTTTCTTGAAAAAAATTATCAAAAACAAAAAGAAAGAACTTGGTCGTTTCACAAATTTTCGAATTTAATTGTAATTTCGCAAAAAGATTATTCGAAAAAAATGTTTTTACTTTCTGAGTAAAATTGGGAAAATTTTGCATATTATAAAGATGTTTTTTTCTGTTTTGTATTTTTTACATCGTATTTGATGAGTTTTCTTTTTTTTTTGCACACATTGCTGATTCGTCAGACAATATATTCGAGTAAAATACAAGAATGTATCAAATATATATGTTTTTATATATATATATATATATATATTATTTATCTCTTGACGTTTAAAATTTCGCAATTATTGTGTTTATCATGTAAGGTTAGTCATCTAAATCGTTCACATGTAGAACCTCTCTGTGAGTAAGTCCAGCTTCAAATAATGTTACAATTTCAACTGTTGGATAGAGAATTCTTCTAGGATAGCTTGTCGTTATTTCGAAACATGTCGGTGAATCAGGTTGACTAAATATCCAATGATAGACGTCCTAAAAAAGTTTTTGCAAAAATTCAATTTTAATATTAGAGGAAATATTTAATTAAAAATTGATTAAAGAAATAAAAGAAAGTACTTCAATTGTGTCTGTGAGAAGAAATCGTCTTTTCATTGTTCTTTCGCCGAGTTTAATTTGTAGATGACAAGCATTTGGATTTGATGGTTCTGGTTCGAATGGAATTTTTCCGGTTGTCATTTCTTTTTCTTTACGAATACGTTGAATTTCCATTTCCTGTGCGTCTAATTTTTCTCGTTCTCTTGCTTCCGCCTCTTCGCGTGCACGACGTTCTTCCTCGCGTTTTCGATCCTTCTCCTGATCAGCGCGCAATGATTCCTCATAGGCCTGATCCTGTTGTTGACGTAGCGATTGTGCTGCCGATCTTTCGGCTCTGGAATAATTTTAAAAAATTAAAAACACATTCATAGATACATTTTTTTATATTACTACTTACCGCTCTTGACGGGCTTGAATTAAATTAATATCGTTGTTATCTATGAGAGTTTGTAGGCGTTCATTCAATTCCTCCGGTGACGGTGTGCCCTCCATTCTAATTAGGAAAATTTTATTTAAAAAATAACAAGAGAACTTTTTTCCTCGAATATATTAAAATGATTTAATACAGATTTAATAACTATAAAAATATAAATGAAAATTCTTACCGTCCAACAATGGACATTCGATTATCCTTGAGTACAATCAGAGCAAGGAAAGGATAAGTACCAGATTTAAGAGCTTCTGCAACTTTGTAACCTTCACCTGATTGTACATTGCACGCCCAAAAAAGTGTATGCATATTTACACATCGAATTAGATCGGCATCACCCAAGGTACTTCTGAAATAACAATCAAAAATTGAATCAAAAATTAAAACAAAAATTGAAAAATAAATTTAGATTAAAAAAAAAGAGTTACGAAATACCTGCACCATTGTTCAACTTCTTGTGTATCATCTTTATGTAAATAAACAAGTAAAAATCTCAGTTCTTGTTTAGCGTCGGAAAGTGCTTGACTATAAGAGCCTTGATAAAAAACAGGATGATTTCTACCATAATGTTCATCATAAAATCTGATGAATTTCATTACGTCTTCTACTGGATCTGACGATACTGAAAATTAATATTAAAAATTACAATAAAAAAATTAAAAATTACAAAAATTAAAAAGAAAATTATCACTGAGAATTTTTACCAGGTCTGACATTTGTCCTGAATATGGCGAATACTAATTGTAAAATACTGGTTACTAAATTATAACACATGGAAAAAACATATGAAATAAATCCGCCACCACCAGACGAACTTCCTGAGGAGCTGAAATATATTCTTGTTGTTGTGTCATCAACGACAGCGGGAGGTCGCGATCGTGAATCTTGTGCGTACATTGACGGTCTACCTTCGTACAAATTAAGCTGTTCCTGTTTTTTCCAAAAAAATAAAATTTACTTCTAATTAAATCTAAAAAAAAATATTGCTTCCTCACGGAGCAATTATTTTAATAAATTTTTTAAACAAAGCGATTTTTATAACAAAATTCGCATAATTTAAAGAAAGTTCCAAAAAGGAAAAAAAAAAACAAATCTTTTTGTTTCATATTTATATCAAACCTGAACTGCCACTTCCAAGTTCCAGTTATGACGTTGCAAGACATCTCGACACACGGAAAGATCTTCAATACCCGTTAAATCCTATTTCAAAAAAAAAAATATATTTAAACATATTCATAATTTACGCGTCACTTCTAATTAAGAGGAAAAATTCATTTTTACCTGAAATTGGAGGACTTTTTCAGTTTGATCACTACTGAGTTCCCCTAATAAATTATCAGCCATGACAAATAAATTGCCAGCTAATCGAAAAAATGGTTAAAATGTTGGGGGGAATTTGCTGTTGTTACACTTGAAAAAATATTATCAAACTCATCAGCTGACACACACAATGGAACTATCACTGATAGAAAAATTCTGATCAGTCATTTGGAGTATACAATATTATTTGGAAGTTAACCTCTCGTTCATGACACAAATTTTTTTATTGTTATAAACAAATTGTTGTCATTTTTTTTAATATTATATAGCACAGCAATTTTTTTTCAATATTAATATTTATAATTTCTTCACAAAAATATTGGTTTTCAAATTGATTTCAACATAACAAGTTAATGATAAAATTGAAATCCCCGTAACCTTCTATTGCCATTTCCTTTACAATGACCATAGATTTACAACATTTTATAGATTTTATACAACAACAACAACAAAAAATGAGTTCTAGTTCATCAAATAAAACACCTATATATATGGCGGCGATACGCTTCTTTTGAATTATTTACACTTCGTTTTATTTTTGTTTATGAACTTAAATTCGTAATGAAAAAAGATCAAATAACATTTTTTTAATATTAAAATATTAAGAATATGTAAAATTTGTAGAATTATTAGTATTTTAATAAATTAATTTGTATTTTTAATATTTTTAAATTTTCCCTCTGTATAAGTAGCGCCCTCACGTAAGTAATCATTAAGGCGCTTTCATAATAAAGTGGTGACGTCATCACGCAAAGTTTCATATTTCGGACGTTCTATTTCGTATACTTACGTTTCTAGTTTCCCAGCTCTGATCAGTAAAGAAGTGCTTGAAAATTAAAGGTAGAGCTGTGACTGTACCTTAAAATTTTGATAATTGTTTTATTTGATTGTAATAAAACAAATTTATTTAGTATTAGATTCTTAAGGTTTAAAATAAATAACAAATTTAGAGTTTAGACGAATTTATAGGTTATTATATTTTTCCTTATAAATATCAAAATAATAAAGTATAGTCGGGAAGAAGTTTTTTAAATAAAGAAATAAAAATTTTGTTATTGTTTTTGTATAACGATAAATAGTATATATATATATGTAAAAATGAATATTGTTATATTCTATCAAGAATGAAAAATTAGAGAAGAGAACTGTCTATTTGGATTCTGAGAAGAAATACCAAAATTTACTTGAAGGCTAGAGTTTCTTTAAAAAAAATAAAGAGCAAACCTAACAAGCAGCAACCAGTTCTTCCGAATTCAGAGAAGGAAAATAAAATAGAGAAAGGGCAAAGAAGGGCTCGGAGGGAGTGGCAACCACACACGTTAGATTGTGTATTCTGGAGGGAGTTAACATTCCATTCATGGTTTTAGTAGAACTGTGTGTGCGCGTCAGACAAGAAAAAAATTTTAATTTTTGTGGTATTTAATATATACTCATTTCCTGCCCATCTTGAAGCCATTTAATTAGTCTTATCATTATGATTTCTCAAAGATGGTAACAGATATTAAACCCTCTAAGTGAATAAATAATCACGAATTATATACTTTCAATTTTCTTTTCTCTACTCGTTCCTTCGTGTTCATCGACAAATATATGAAAAAAAGAAACCGGCCGGCCGGCTATCCTTCTTTATTATTTCATTTAAGTGCTTGTAAATTGATTTTCCAGTTTTTTTGTGTTAGTGAAGAAGTTTAATTTGGAATTGAAGCAAGATTTTTGGCAATTTTTACTTGAAGATCAACACCTAGTCGATGGGTAAGAACTTACCAATAATTATGTGCATATTAAAAGTTATAGTATAAGCGTACGTTGAACCAGTGTGAGTGTATAAGCGTAAGAAAAGAAGATAAAAAAACACACGAGGAATGGCAATTTTTAGGAACTATTGCCACGTAAAACTGCTGACAAGTAGCTTTACTGTATTTATAATTTTTATCCAGTTCTAATAATGAAAAAAAAGTTTATTATTAAATTAAAAATAAATTTTTAAAATTTGTTTTTAATTATTTAAAATAGATTTATCTCAATTAATTACAATAATATTTAATAAAACTTGGTTAAAAAATAATTTAAAAAAAATATACAATTTTTTATTGTTTAGAAAATTCAAATAGATATTTGTACTTTACAAATTCAATGGATTTAATAGAAAAAACAACTTTATGTAAAATGTAATTAGAGATTTTTTTTTATTTAATCTTAAAGAAAGAGAATTTCTACAAATGCTAAGGACAGGTGTTCACTTTGCAGGGGCTTGTCTGAATAACGGTTTTACTTTATCCTTTGTACTACTTGTAAGGGGAAACAGGCATAATAGCAGACAACACGAGGCTAAAAAAAAATATTTTTAAAAATGACACAATTATCAAAAAAAAAATTTGCGATCTTTTTATTTATTTTATTTCTATGATAAAGTGCTCTAAATCAATTATAAGTTAAACATAAAACAACTTTTAATTAATTCGTAAAAAATTAAATTTTTTTTTCATATATTGCAGGCGAGGGCGAAATGTTGTAATGGCCGGAAGATTACGACGATCAAGCTCCGAGCTGAATACGGATCTTTCATCGCCGACACCTCGAAAAAGAACAAGGAAATCAGATGAATTAGATAGTGTAGAACTTGGAGAAAAATCACTTGATATAAGCTTAGAGACAAGTGAGAAATTATCACCTTCTGATGAATCTGGAAATTCATCTGCTGAAGGATCATTCATTTTGTTTCATACATCAAGAAAATTAGAGCAAAGCAATAATTTTGAAAAAGAAAATACATGTAAATCAATTGAGGAAAATTTTTACACCACTGAAAAAAAGTCAATTGAAATAACAAAAAAACAAAATGATAATCTTACAAAAATATCGTCATTAGAAGGATCATCGAGAGAAATTATTGAATCTGGTGACAGTGGTATTGGATCATCATCAAGAAGTCATAATAGCGAAATGGGAAGACCAATTGGTGAACAAGAGCAGACATCATTAATGGGAGAGCATGCTTTTTATCAAGAATTATCATTAATTGGAAATGGAGCTTATGGCACTGTTTATAAAGCCAAAGATTTAACAAGTGGTCAAGTTGTGGCACTTAAGAAAGTTAGGGTACCTCTAACAGAAGATGGTTTGCCAACATCGACACTTCGTGAGATTGCTACTCTCAAGCAATTGGAACGATTTGAACATCCACACATTGTAAGTTCTTTTAATAAATTCTTTTTGAAAAATAATTTCAATTAACTCCCACTGGTTTATTTTTAGGTGAGACTTTTAGACGTATGCCAAGGAAATTATTTACAATTACCATTGGATGATGAGAGAACTGAAAGAATTGATCGTGGTCTCACATTGTGGTTGGTTTTTGAACATGTCGAACGTGATCTTGCTTCATATTTATCTTCATGCGCTTCAACTGGCATATCCCCTAGTACGATAAAACGAATGTCTAAAGAAATTTTACAAGGTGTCGATTTTCTTCATAGTCACAGAATTACTCACAGAGATTTGAAACCACAAAATCTTCTCGTGACAAGTGAGGGTAGAATTAAAATTGCAGATTTTGGACTTGCAAAGACTTACGACTTTGAAATGAGACTGACTTCTGTGGTAAGTTATTTTTTTTTATGTATTATCTTATAGAATTATATTTATTATTTTTAAATTAAAATTTATTATTTATAGGTGGTGACACTTTGGTATCGAGCACCGGAAGTTCTATTGGGATGTCCATACGCAACACCAGTTGATATTTGGTCTGTTGGTTGTATTCTAGCGGAAATAAATAGATTAAGTCCTCTATTTCCAGGAACAAGCGAGGGCGATCAACTCGATAGGATTTTTCAGTAAGTGATCATTTTTCCTCAAATCGGTAAATTTATCAAAAAGATTTTTTAAATATAATTTTTATTTAATTAAATAGTTAATTATGAAAATACTTCCCAAAACTTATAACAGTTAAAATTTCTATTAAATTAATGTAATATTTACAGAGTAATTGGTACTCCTCAACGTAATGAATGGCCTGATAATGTATCTCTCAGTTGGACTGCATTTCCTGAGAGAAATGTTAAACCTCTTGATAGAATAATAACAAATATCAATGATCATGGACTTGATCTTATTAAAAATATGCTCTCTTTTAAACCACAAAATCGAATTACAGCAGCACAATCATTAAAGCATTTGTATTTTTCGGAAGAACCTTGTTAATTTAAAGAACAATCATTTATAATATGATTGTTATAATTTGTGTGTCATTATGGGGCTTTAGACAATATTATTGAAACTCGCGTTTCATGCGGGATCCAAGAATTTTTCTTCTGTGAAAGAAAAATTTAGAATTTCAAGAATAATTCACAATGAATGACAATATTCTTAGTTTTTTTTCTATTTTCTTCTGTTTTTTTTTTAAATATTTTTTGTCTAGTAAATTAAATTTAGTAGTTTTTTTTTGTATGTCATATAGAATAAGAAATGTAATTTAAATTTTGTGACTAATAACTAATAGTTACAAATTTTCACGTTATCTATATATTACTACGTTATAATTATAACGTGTAATAATTAATAGTGTGAAATTTATAATGACGAATAATAATATTAATATATTATTAATATTAATTATTAATAATATTAGTTCGAAAGGTCAAATTTAAGATGTGAGATTATTGTGTCGTCATGATTCAAATAATTTATAAGTATAGTTATAAAATAGGATTTTTTAAAAGCATGTGGTTATTGTTGTATAAAATAATGTTAGACCAACAGTTTTTAAGTTTTGTAAAAATTGAGATTGCGCCAAGTTCAAGATTATTACATTTTAATAAGTTCTGTATATTTTTAAGATATTTTTTGTTTATATTCAAAAAACAGACTGATGTTTAAATTTTTATTCTTTGTATAATTAGATTGCACAACATAAAAATTTAAAATTTTCCACTTTTTTTTTAATGATAATAACTCAACTCCAATATTCATATTGTAGGTAATATTTATAGTGAGTAGTATATATATTTTATGTGGTCTGACATTTATTTATTATTAAGATATGTATTTTTGCTAATTAAAATTAATATAAACTTAAAATATTAGTTTAAGGAAATAGTTTTTAAAAATTATAATAGGATAACGATTTTAAGACTGAAGTCTGAGAATTGTAAACGAAAGATTTGATGACTTTCGTATGTAAAACCAGACAAAACACTGCCATAATTATAAGATGAAATCGTCTCGTACGAATTTTTTTTTTAGCATTTACTATTTTACTTGTATTGTGTATTATAGTCATCTAATTTTGTATAAATGCATTTATGGATGCGGCATTACTTAATATAAATATGCTGTTTTTCTTTTAATTCAAATTTCTCAATCGATATAACGTTTTATTAAACTCTATACTTATATGAAATATAATCAGAAAATATTTTAAGAGTTGTGCCACGTCTTTTGTGATTTTATGTATGTGCCTCATGTATCAACATTAATATCATATACTAATAGAATTAAAAAATATGAAATTAAAAAAGACCTAATTTTAAGACTGTAAAAACAGAGTTAATATTTGTTAATTTTGTACATGTTATTTTTATGATCTTATAAAACTACTGTTTTGTATTCTTAAAACGTTTTTATACATATTTACTATAAAGTATAATATCATAATTCATAATTAATTTTTCCAATAGTTAAATACTACTAATAATGTAATACTCCAAAAGAATAGAATTTTTGTAAAATATAATTCATTCAAAATAAATCAACAATATTTAATAATAATTAAAACGTTTTGTAATTACTTAACCAATGAATTAATGTTTGAAAATGAAAAATTAGTAAGAATATTTTGAAAATCTTCATTTATTCATTTAAAAATTAATTCTTCAATTATTTAAATTGTTCTTTTTAACCAGGAGGCCATTGCATTTGGCGTCCACCAAGAACATGCAAATGTAAATGATAAACTGATTGAGCACCATTTTTTCCATCATTAATGACTAAACGAAAACCATCTTCAAGGCCTTCTTTTGCAGCAACTTTACGTGCAACATTCATTAAATGACCTAATACAGCTTCATCATTGTCTTCTGCTTTAGATAATTGTGAAATTGGTTTTCGTGGGATTACCAAGAAATGAGTCGGCGCTTGCTTATTCACATCATGAAATGCAACACACTGAAAATATAATTATAGCCATTTTTTTAAAAAGATAATTGTAATTAGTTTTGCTATACTAAAAACCAAAGTAAAAAAAAGAATTTAACTTTTCTAAGTAAATTGGTGAGGTAAAAATTAACATCTCATAAATAACGATATACTTCTTTTAATTGAAATTTTTATTAAAAATTTGTGTATTTTATAAAAAAACAACATTCTTTTACCTGGTCGTCTTCATAAATGAAATTACATGGTATTTCCTTTCGTAATATTTTACCAAAAATAGTATCTTCCTGAGGACTTGCAGCCTGAGCTTTTTCCACTTCCGAGGACATTTTTCTTTGAAGTGACGTATGGAGAAAACTATTAAAATGTAATTGTTTTAATACTAATGGTGTTTTAAACACATGACTTAAAAAAAACATTCATTAAGAATTAAAGGTACCGGAACAACAATAAACCAGGAACCGAATGTTTTTAGGTTGTGACTTCAACAAGTGATTTTATTGTTAAAATTAAAAGTTACTATAAAGTTACTAAATTTTCACTAGAGCAGAGTGTGGTAGTTGTTGACGAGAATTATGGACCAATGGCGAGTGGGGACAATGGAAACCAACCCAAAATGGCGATGGACACAGTCGCAAAGTATCTGTAACCTCAAAAAACTGTCTATCCAAAAGTGCGTTTATAGTGAAAAGTTGATGTTTCAAAATAATATTTATTAATTAAAGTTATATTTATAGGCATATAATTAATAAATGGGCATAATACATTGACGTTGTTTAAAACAAACTAATAAATTAAGACTTTTCACCTTGTAAATTTTGTAAATTTATTTAGTGTAATATGAAGTATATAAAGAAATTGCGATGAAATAGTAATGCTTCCTTCCACCGGTTATTTCAAAACAATTAATTGTCCTTTTTACGAGAGTGGTTCATGTGATAGACCTTACTGCCACTTTAAACATGCTCGAAAAGGTAAGTTAAAAAAAAAATTTTCATATAGCCTTATAAGAAGTTGGTAACCTAAATTTTATGTAGGCATTTTTATTTTTTGTTACCGTATTCTGAATACTCATATTTAATTATTTTAATATTTTACTTGAAATGAATTGACAAGTTCTTGTCAAAAAAGTTTTTTTCAACCCATGTATAGACAATTTGTTAAGTTTCACATTGTCATAATTGCTGTAAATTATATTATGTATTCATTTCTTCTGAATGATTAGTTTATTTAAATTTTAGTATAATTTGACAATTATTAAAAATGTCAAATTTTTAATAATTCATGTATTGATAGTAAAATAGATAATAATTTAATATTGGTATTCAATTATGAAATAAATTTTGATTGTATTATTTGAAATGTATTTAAAAGAATTTTCTTAATTTTTATAAAGCAAACCCCTCCTCTGCAGATGATACAACCAACATTTTGGGTATATCAACGGCGGAAACGACGGAAACTGTGACAAAGATTAATGAGGGAGTGGGTACAAGTTTGGTCGCAACTCCTGATTCAGACGCGTTACAAAAACTAGTAACCGAAACAGTGAAAAAGATTCTTGCCACTCAAGAGGTTTCTGATACGGATAAAATTTCAGAAAATATTGTAACAAAAGTTGTCGAAGAATTGAAACCAACACTTGCTTGCGGATCTTTAGTTTCGTCTCCAGCAGTTCCTGAACCTTCTCAATCAAATGAATTGGGCAAGCATACTGGTGTTCCTTCTTCCATTTCAAAGTGCGTATATAATCCAACTCCAATTGCCGAATTAAAAAAACGTCATATTCCTATTGCTTCGTACATACCGACAAGAGAAAGCAAAGTGTCAGCTAAAAGAAAAATTTCTCCAGATAGAAGCAAAAGTTTACTCTCTTTTATTCACGCGTCTGGCAACAATTATTCAAGTAACGAGATTTACAAACCAACATCGATAGGTATTGCTGATACTACTTCAATTCCAAGTTATGTTCCAACAGCGAGGTCCGATTCTTCACCAGCAAATTCTTATGACGATAGCAATTCTAGTGAATATTTTCCCAGAAAGTCAAAAGAACAATACTTTCCAAAGGTGAAAAAGAGAAGAGAAGAATATGTTCCTCGGAGAATAAAACATCCTCTAAAAACAGTACAGCAATTAGAGGAGAGTATAGAGGAGGATACTGTTTTAGAATTTGCAAGGAAGTTTGAAACAATTGATAAACTTCTTTTAGAAGATGAGACAGATGTCGAACCCATTAATGAAGAATCTCATGAATATGAGAGTATAGATCCTAAATTTTCTGATGACGAATCTGAGGATGAAAATTTAATTGCATCAACTGATGAAGTAAAAGAATTAGAAGATGTATCAAAAGTAAAAAATGTCGAAGAGAAAGAAAATACAGACATTGAACAAATTGAGAAAAAGGAAGAAAATACAGACTCAAAGAGTCATAAAATTAGTAGTAGTAGCAGCAGTTCAAAATCCACTCGAGAACATAGTAATAGTTCCAAGTCTCAATCTAAAGATCAATCTAAGAGAGAGAAAAGCAGGTCTGAAAAATCTCAAATTTCAAAACACGATGAAAGGAAAAAAAGCGAGGGAAAAAGTGAAAGTAAAAATTCAAAGAATGAAACAAGTAAGGATAAACACAGTAGTTCTAAAAATAAGGAACATTCTTCTTCATCTAGTAGAAGTAAAGATAAAAATAAAGAAAAAGATGCACATAAAGAAAGAGAAAAGGATAGAAGTAGTGACAGGAGTAAAAGTTCAAAAGATAGTAAAAGTAAGGACAGCAAAGAATCTAAGGATCTAAAAAGTAAGAACAAAAAAGATTATAAATCTGAAAAAGAAAGAGAGGGTTCGAGGGACAGTAAACAAGACAAGCACAAGTCAGAAAAACATAAATCCAGATCTAAATCAAGTTCATCAAGTTCATCAAGAAAAGATAAGCACAAGTCTCACAAATGTGATGATAAACATCACTCCAGTTATAAATCCAGTAGTTCAAATCATAAGCACAATAGCTCCAGTAAAAAAACAATAAAATCAAAGAGAGATAAATCTGAGGATCGAGATTTTGGATCTGAACTCGAAGGAATGCATTTTAATTTTGAGGATGAAGAACCAATGGAGATTTCTGATTCCGATCACGATGTTGAAGAAGAGTGCTTTAAAATCTTTCAGGTATTTAATAAAATGTTATATTTAAAATTGACTTTCTATTAAATAACTTTCTTTTTTAGGAATACGAAGTATCGGATCAGAAAGATGTTACCAAGAAGCAATCTTATAAACGACATATCAAGGAAGTTGATGATGCAGAAGAAGTTGTAGTTAAAAAGAGAATTGCTTATCCTTCAGCAACTTCGATGTCGAGTCAACTACCCGAACGTAAAGAACCTAAGAAAGTAATAAACCCTCACCAAAAATTGTATGAACGATGGAAATTATTGAAAGCAGCAGCAGCAAATTCTTCGGATAAAAATGATGAATATGTTCCTGAACAAATAAAACCCACGAGTAGTAAATATATCAGTGAAAGTTCATCTCAGTCAGTTTCATCTAAAAATGAAACACAGCTCAATGGAAATGGTAAAATTTTAATTTCAATTCTTTTTGATTATTTAATAAATATTGTTTATTTTTCAGGTCGAATAAGAATTGCTCACGTTCCATATGCCATGTCCTTGGCTTTAGAAAAGAAAAAAGTTTTAGAAAATGCATCAAGCGCAATGACAAAAACAGTAGCACAGACAACAAAAACTGGTTCACGAGTAGCTCATATTCCCGTGGCGGTATGAATTTTTTAAATGAAACAAAAAGATTAAAAAAAAACAATAAGATTTTATGTTAAAAACATTTATATGTTACAGATACCGCAATTAATTCGACCAGAGCCAATGCAAGTATCAACACAAAAATTTCCGGCTAATGTCCGTCAACATTATGTGAATATTATGCACGATATTTGTGTGCAAATTTACACAAATGGCGAAGATGCAGTGAATCGAGCGACGCGGGAAGAATATGCCTGTCATGAGCGTTGTAAAGCTTTACCTGTTTATAAGAATTCTTGTATGCTTGCTGCTCATAGATTGAGAAAGGAAGTAGATCAGGGTACAGATGCTTCCTCAATGTCATCTGCAAGTGGAATAGTTTCACACGAAGCTGTTCTAGCTGGTAAGTCAAAAGGTTCTTGGAGTGTTATTAAAAGTAAAAAATCAGTGACTGATTTGCATGGAGCGAATCTTTATTATATGCTCTCAAAATGGATTATGACTGAACAACAATTAAAAGATAATGGATTTCCAAGACCACATCCAGATGGACCTAGGGTAATTTTCTTCAATGTAATTTTAGTTTTATCGTTTTTTATTTAAATACTAAAATAAGTTGCATAATTTTATACAGGGTCGAGCAAAAGTTTATGTAATTAATACTAGGAATCATTCAATTATATCGAAAGTGCCTAACGAAAGATTTTGTAGCCGTTGCAATCAGCCCTATATTATTGATCGATTTGGAATTCCAGTTAAAAAGGAAAATTGCATTTATCATTATGGTCGTAAATTTACTTATCGAGGTGAAGGAAAATATAGTTGTTGTCAGCAAGATAGTTCGGCGAGTGGTTGTTGCGATGCAAAATCACATGTATGGGATTATGTAGACGTAGAAAATCTTCGTGGTTACGTTACTACATTACCTAAAGGTAATTTTTTTCTCACTTCCATCAATCATTCAATTATTTCATTTTTTGTTTTATTTTAGAAACAGATCTTCTTCCGGAAGAACAAGGGGTATATGCTCTTGATTGTGAAATGTGTTATACAACGCAAGGTTTGGAATTAACTAGAATAACAGTCATTAATGAAGATTGTCATGTTGTTTATGAAACTTTAGTCAAGCCTGAACATCCTATTCTCGATTATAATACAAGGTATTTTTTCATGCATTTTTCTTGTTTTTTGCACTAATATCTTGAAAATATTTCGAAAATATGAAAAAAAATTAAATTATTTTCATGTCAGATTCTCAGGGATAACTGAAGAAAATATGAAAGATGTTTCAACGACTCTACTCGATGTTCAAGCAACGCTTCTCACAATGTTTTCCGATAAAACTATTTTAGTGGGTCATAGTTTGGAAAGTGATTTCAAAGCGTTAAAACTCATACACGATACGGTAGTGGATACTAGTATTATGTTTCCTCATCGAAATGGTTATCCACAAAAGAGGGCACTTAAAAATCTTTGTTCTGAATATCTACGCAAAATAATACAAAATGATGGTAAATGAAAATTTCTTTTCAATTTATAAAAATTTATGGACATGTATGTATTGTGGATTTTTTTTCAGTTGGTGGACATGATAGCAACGAAGATGCGATGGCTTGTATGGAATTAGTTTTGTGGAAAGTTAAAGAAGAGGCAAAATTAATATAACTTTTTTCTTTTAGTTAAATTATATAATTTACATCTTGTTGAGTGCACCAAAAACAAAAAGTGAAGATTATGATTATATCAGAATTGTTTAGTGATTTTTTTTTTATTCTCAGTTAAATAGTATTACACTATTCTACTGCCAAATGTATTATAGTTTTCATGTATAAATATGTAATATAAGTAATTCAAATTCGTACATTCTTTAATAATTTGTAATAACTGTATTTTTGAGAAAACTCGTTAATTGTTTTACACACACAACTAAAACAATTTGAAAAATTTTGACAGCTTTTTTGACCGTCTTCAAAGTGACATCGTTATTCTTGTCCTAATGTTTCAATTAATATTTTTGTACTGCGTTACTTATTTATAATATGTAACTACTTTAAGATACATTAAAATTGACAAATAATTTAAAAAAAGGCCTTCTCCATTATGACATTAAAATTAAATTATAGTCACAACATTTCTTAAAGAATATTTTTGTTTATTTATCAGATGTCCATTTTTTTACAGTTTTATGCAAATTTACAGAAAGGTAATGCTGTTTATTGTTTGTAAAAATAGTTTCACATTCGAGATTCTGTTCTCTTTTTCTATTATTGATACAACGTATTTTTTATCCATTTCTTATACATTAATTTTTATTGTCCCCTGCTTGTATAATAAAATACGGAGTACAAAATAACAATTATTGTTGAGAACAAATTTTCTTGGTGTCAATATAATGTTTATGGGAGTTAGTGAATATAATAGGAGGGAAACAATGTACAAATATACAAAAATATACAATATTTATATATATATATATATAAATAAAAGAGACAATCTTAGGCCAATAATTCAACTTAACATATACTTTTATTGTTACACTGAAAAAATTTTACTGAATATCGTATTCCATGTGTAAAGATTCACTAGAATAGTTTCTAGATGTAAATGCTCGAAATATAAATTGGTGTATATAAAAAATAATGATTTCTTTAAAAATTATTATCTTGAGAATAAGAATAAAAGACTGATATAAATTTTTTACCTAAAATATTCAGTAACAAGATTTTTTTCAGTGCAATTGCTCCAAGTTATTGAGATAATTAATGTTTTAGATGAAAAATAATGCGCAAGTTCTCAATTTTCCCTGTACTTTTTAATACTGGAGCTTTCGAACAATCTGATAAACGTTTAAAAGACTAAATATTAGCCTTCTATAATGAAATGTATTAGGTTTCTTCTATGTTTATTTATAATATTTACATGTGACAAAACATTAATTGTTTTTCTCTTCTGTTTTCAGAAAATATTTACTCTAAACATTGCACTCATCGATTATCTACTTTCTTATTATAAAGATACGGCGCGTGGACTAATTTGCACATTGGAGAATGAAACGGATAATACTGTTAATAGACAATACGTGAGTTTACTTAATTTAATTGATAATTAAATTAATATTTATTTTAAAAAGTTCTTTTTCTTGTAAAAAATTCATTTAAATGTTGTTACTTTGCATAATTTCCTGTTTAATTATTGTGAAACAAATCTTTTTTAATTTAAAAAATAGAGTTGAACACATAGTGAGGAAGAATATTTTGAATTCCTATTTTTTTTACATTTTTTACAGCCAAAACATATTTCTCATTACCTCTACTGCACTCAATATCAAAATATCCAAATTTTGCAATTATTTTACATATTATTGTATCATCTTTTTATTTTATTGCATACTTTTGTGCGCTCTGATTTCACATTTCATTTTCTATTGTTGGAAAATTTCTTTCTCTTATATACAAAATAAGAAAATTAATTTTTTCCATTAGATAAATAGATTTAAAAAATATTTTTAATTTACTTATAAGTATTAATCAGTGAAAAATGCACTGAAATATATTTAATCTTTATTTCCTAAAGCTTCTAAAATTAAGCCTGAGGACTAAATTTCTATATCTTTTATGATTTACAATCTATCAAGGCAACTAATCCAAGACACGTAGACTTAAATCATTTTTTTTTCATTTTTTATAATTCATGAAAGTTGATATGATTCAAATTGATTTTTTATTAATTTTTTAAAAATTTCGATATTGAAAGCTAAATTTTTACTAACTTGAGTTTTTACTTCCATCAATTATTTAATTTTCTGTTATTGTGATGACACACTGAGATTTCAGTACTTAAGTTTCGGCATTTGAAAAATGATAGTGTCATGTAAATTACAAGTTGCCTTAATAATAATTTATCAAATTTACAACTAAGTAGTTAAATAAATATAATTACAATTTTTGTCTTGCTAAATGAATTTAACATTATTTCAATTCTCATCGCGACTTGTATACTTAAATTGGAAATCGTATATCATTTTACTATAAAAAAAAGTCTTCAACTTCTTGGCGAGAATTTTTAAAAACTGTTTTGTTTGTTTAAAATCTTAAATAAAGCAGACTTAAAAAACAATGCATATTTAATGGGCCTGATTTTGAATTTTGATTTAAAAAAAGAATTTGTAATTTTTGTCAAAAGAATTGTTTACATTTTCTCTGCAATGGAAATAAACTTACGCAATGAAGACTCGGACAATTTTCGATAAGAGCAGCATAAATCTTGGAAATTTTTCTTGACACAATATTTTGCTTGTTGCTTTCTTATCTTTAGCATTCTCAAGTATATAGGAATGCCATTACAGTCTTTATTCTTTCAGAATAAAATGCTTCCTATTTGAATTAACTCCAAAATCGGAAGCACCTAAAATTAGAAATTGAAATATTAAAAAAATTTGTTTTTTTAATTCTCTTGATAAAATTTTAATGTTATAGAAAATGATGAATATTTACATTTGTTTATTAAGGCTCCAAGTCATCATCAAATTCTTGATCTCCAACAAGGTACAAAAATTGGAATGCAATTGCAAGAAGGCTAATTCCTAAAAGATCACCCATTGCAGTCAAGTACGGAATAGCCGAATTATCAGGATCAATTTTTCTCTTCCACATCCAGTGGATCATGATATAAGCGATATATAAAAGAGCTGCAACTTGCAAAACAGCTGCACATAAATAAACGAAGACAAATAATGGAGTTAAAGAAGTATTACCATCTTTCATATAATTAATCAGGTAAATGAAAATGATATGTCCCGGAATAACCATTGTCATTAAAACTCTAGTAGTCCTTGCATGCAATCCTGCAATTTAAAAAGTATATCGTGAATAGTAGGATTATTATTTTTAGAAGTCAAAAAATAAGGAATATTAAATATTTACCTTTTCCAAAAAAATTTGCAATTGGCGTAATAAAAATAACTGGATGCGTATGACCTGGCGGAATTAAAAGAGTTCCTAAATCAGCTTGTTTGTGAAGAGCAGTTGATATTCTGCTGGCTTGCACTGCCACCAAATTTCCTCCAACTCCATTGATAACTGGTTGAAAAACGGTCAAATTTTCAAATCGAGAAACCATAAATTCCAAAATTAATCCGCCGCAACTGTAAAAAAAATTTTGATATATTTAGTATCAATTAACAGAATGTTATTTCTAAATTAAAATTTATTTACAATTTTAACATTCAGATCTTGTGATATATTAATTTAATAACGAGGAAAAGTTTTATTAATTGAGAGCTGATTTTATCAATTTACTTCAAATATTTTCAAGTATAGAGATTTCGTACAAATTTTCAAGAGCTAATTCTTTCAATATTGTCATATCTCTAAGTTTTATATTAAATACCTATCATACAATTATCTTTATCACTTAAATAAATATTTATTTTTTCAAGGTTTATAAATATACGAGCTACTGGAAATCTCTTTTTTTCCATAAAAAAAAACATGAATCAAGAATTTTTAACAATTTTTAATTAATAGATGAAATTTTTTTTAGATATTTTAAAAAGAGATACTAATTTTTGTTTAATATTAACTTTGATTCACTTTTTTTTCAAGGTCCTCTGTACCTGAAAGTTTCATACTAAAACATTGTCATCGCTCGTAAACTTGGGTTTCAATGGGTTGAAGAAAACGGTCCAACTCGTTTGAGTAATTGGTACCGTCAATAGAGATCGTTTAAGACTTCAAGGTCGTTTATCTAATTTTGGCTACCACGTGCACTATATATGAAAGGAAGGTATCGTTCAGAAGGAAAAATTTAAAGAGAATCTAAACAAATATTGTAATTGTTCTTTTATTGAACAATTACATTTAATTAAAATGAATGACTCGAACTGAAATTTTGATAATTAAATGTTTGCGGAAATATATTTTGCAATGAAAATATATAATATGGATTATTAAATATAATATTGTTTCATCTGAAAATGATGAATTACATACCTACTAATTAACATTGCAACCATGACGGGTGTCCAACCAGTGTAAAGAACATCATTTGTGTATTTGTTCTTTTTAGCAATCCATACCCAAAGTGGAGTGACGAGGATATAACAGGCAATGATAAGAGGGCCCAGCCAAACTTGTTTGTCGATTGCTTCATAAAGAATTGTTGAGATCCAGGAAAGCAAGGCAAGTGAAGTGATATCGCCAAGACTGGCTGCTATTGGAGTGGCCACATTATCCGGATTTATATGACAATGTCGAGACAAGACGATGACACCAGCTGTAATTAGTCCAAGGACGAAGGATGCTAGTGACGCTGTTACTAAACTACTGGCGATGAGGAGGTAGGCGTGATCTAATGAAACTGCACTGTTACGTATCGCTCCCATCACGATGGCCACTACTGATCCCAGAAAACCAACCACAATTGCTTGACACTATATAATGACAATTTTTACATTCATTTTCATATTCCATTACCATACATATATTTCAATAAATCAATATCATTGAATCCTCATTGTACTTCAAGAATCAATATGTAATTGAAAATTTTTACATTTAAATATTTAACTAGAAATTTTATTAAATCTAAGATGAATATTACAGGTTTCGAAGCGTAGTAAGAGACTAAGAAAAGTATGAAAAAGTATCTCAAAAAATGAAAAAAAATGTCATCTTTAAAATGAAGTAAAATTAGTTTTCTAAGTTTGACGTTAGAAAAAATATTTAAATACTTTAAATAAATAAATATTTAAATATTTTCTTGTCTAAAAAAATTGAACGAAAAATTCCGAGGAATAAAATTACCATTTTTCTCAGGATTATTTAAAAAAAACAATTATTGTTAAATTTCGATTAACTTTTTGTTTTTGGTACAACGGTAGAAGTGTATGATTATTTCATAAAAATGATTTTTCACATAAATTTTTATTTTACAAAATAGCATTTAATATAGAATTTTTTTTTAACGAATGTTTACTCAACGGAATTTTCAAAGTACCGAATTTTTATTTGACATAATTTTTATTTTACAAAATTTCTCTTTACCCAAAACTGTTTCTTGAAAAGAATTCAAATTTAAATTTATTAGAATTCTCATTCAGTAGAATTTTAAGTAATTCGAATTTTTAAATCCTAAAATCGGAAGCTTATATAAAATATTTATTATTTTAAAACAACAATTTTAACTAATTTATTAAGTTTCAGCCTTTCGGCCCAAAAGTGGACTTGGTCCATCTTAAACAATTTTCATTGAAAATCTCCAAAAATTAAATTATTTCTAAAAATCTTAACTTAAACTCTTCCAAAATTCAATTATTTTTAAAATTTGTATTTAAAATTCTTTGCTAAATTAATAATTTCAATCCAATTATTCAAAAATTCAATTAAATAAAACATTTTTTAATTAAAAATTCAATTACTATTTGAAACTTTGTTAATAATTTTCAACAATTCTAATTTACAAAAATTTTAATTCAAAATCTCCTAAAATTCAATTATTATTAAAAATTTAGATTCAAATTGTTTGTTGAAATAATTATTTCAAATAACTTTAATCAAGATCTTGTCATTTCAATTATTTAAAACATTTTTCAATTCAAAATACTCTAAAATTCAATTATTGTCTGAATTTCGGTTAAATTAGAATTATTAAAAAAAAAAAAAAAAAAAAACGGTTGAGTAAAGAGAAATTTTGTAAAACAAAAAATTTGACAAATTAAAAATTCTATTAAGAAAGAGGTCGTTTAAAAAGAAATTATGTTACAAAAATGCTATTTTGAAAAATGAAAATTCGTGTAAAAATAATTATATAAAGCAGTAGTTCACGTGGCCAATAATAAATCATCAACTTGGCGAACTTTTAGGAATCAAAAAATTCGCCAAAATTTAAAATTCTTGAATTCTGTAATTTTTAAAATTATTTTTTCAAAAAAGTAGCATTTAGTGGCTTTTGGCCAAAATTAGTAGTAAAAAAGTATATGAAAAAAGTAAAAAAGTGTGTCACTTTGAAGCCTGGTATTAAGATATTTTTGGTAATTTTTAGTCATTTTGACGGTTACTCTAAATAAAAATTAAGTTCTTTGCTTTTTCTCTAATTTATAATGAGATAAGAAATGACAATTGCTACTTTACGCAGAAAGACCAATAAATATTAAATCATTATTAAAATGAAATCTTGGCGCCAAAGATAAGCTTCTTTCAAATATATGATGATTCAGTATAGTAGCGTCATTATTCTTCTCGCATTTTAATCAAAATCTAATGGAAATTTTCAGAAAATTCAATTCCGAACTTGAACCTGCCTCTCATGTATAGGATGTTTTCCAAACGGTATTTTTAGAATATGATGATAAAGATGATTGATAACAGATTGTTAATTCTTGATATATCATGAAAATATTTGATCACATGTCATCAACTCGTGATTTTTTTTCATAAAGAGAATATTTTACCTGAATTAAAACAAGGTTCCCAACAATCATATACCATTGTTGCTTAGGAGTGTCCATGTGACCAAGATTTGCTTGTGTTGAAAGTCTTGATGCCAATGTCATTTCTAAATTACCCTTCAATCCTAAAAGTGCCGGAACCAATATCATCAATTCATTGACTTTTTCAAAAACTATCCAATGCTGAAAAGAAAATGAAAATGTTTTTAGAAAGAAGAAGAAAAAAAAAAGAAATCATCCATTAAAACTTACTTGAACTAAATCAAGAACCAATCCAGCTCCTACCATACCGAGTCCAGCAATGAGAAAAGGAATGAAAACTTGAATGGTGATGGCTAAATAAGATTCGGTGGGCTCTTCATCGACACCATAAAGTCGGCTCTCGGCGACAAGATCCGGAAGTCTTCCACCAACATCGGCGGAGTCATCGAATAATGTCACCTCGGCACAATCCTCATTTGAAATAAGGGCAGCTGCGGTCGCTCCCGGATTCGAAATCGAACCGGTTCGCGATCGGCCGCACGTTGGTGTCATATGTTGCTTCTTCAAATTTAATGAAAAAGCAGATTTTTTTTTAATAAGGGGCTCCTTACATCGCCCACTGTAACAAAAATATTAAAAAAAAAAAACTCCAATATCAATTTTCACTATAATTATAGACAAAAATTATTATAAAATGGAACGTTTTTTAATTTCTCATATAATAAGCAAAGAAATTTTCAAAAAAATATTCCAATATTTATGAATATTCATTTTTATTTGATTAAAAATTAGAATTGTCATATCGCGTAGGTTTACATTAAAAAAAACACCACTTTTTCACTTTGTTTTCTAAATTATTCAATTGAATGTTTAATATACTTTTCGAATTTGACGGTAAGACTACTACTACTCTATTGCTTGTCTGACACTGTACAGTATAATATTCTTTTGAAATGATAAGATTCATCGGAGCTCATGATTTGTCTGCGGCGTTATTCAAGAACGCGAGTAAAGAAAATTACGTAAGCCAAAAAGCTTAAATTCGAATTTACCTGCTTGTATTATATACGCTTCGCTTGTCTCCCCATAAATCTTTCCAAGAGCCATCTCTCAAAAACAAATAATGTAGGTATATACATATTTATGTTGAAATTATATCCACAAAATTATATATATATATGTTCTTATTATTTCATTGTTAAAAAAAAATTTAATTTTCAATAAAAAAATTTAATTTCAATTTAATATATTTTCTGTCATTAATAAATAATCATACAAATTCTGAATAAAATTAATAAATAATGGAATTACAAATATATTATTGCAAGAGAGAAAAGAAATTTTTTCCAATATTTCCAGTGTCTGACTTAACTTGACTCTTACTACTGAAACTTTCTAGTGTAACGCATAAAAATTCCACAGAATCTTGTGTTATTATACAAAGCAAAGAGATAAAATGACGTCATCTTACGTCATTTAACAAAATTTAAAACAAAATTCTCTTTATATTTTTAGATGCCAAAAATATCGATATCACGTGTTTTCACTTTTTTCTTATTATTCTTTATAAATTCACAATTTAAATCACGTGTTTTATTATAAAGGTCTCTTTATCATCTATTTTTGTCATACGATCGAAGAAGAATGAATCCAAGGTTTATCAAGATTTCCTTGAAAGACAATCAAAACATCCCTTATTATACGCAAAAAAAAATCTTTACTTGGATCAGCGATATGTTTCCCTAAAATAGCGAATACTTTCGCTATTCTAGATAAATATATTGCTGTTTCAGAGAAACTTATCGCTATTAAGATTTTTTGCGTGTATTAAAAAAAGAGAAAAATTGTTCATTTTTAACGTTTTTTAATTTTGTGAAATTATTTTTATCTTAATTCATATTGTTTAAAAAAAAAAAATCTAGTTTTATGTAAACCAGCATTATTATTGCAATACCTGATCGTATTTTTAATAAGGAATGTTATGTAACGCACGTTTCTTTTGCGGTTTATTATAAAAACGTAATTTGTAAATGAAATTAATATATTAAGAAAATAAATTTTTACGTTTTAAATATGTTTTAAATATTTAATTTTGCTTTAAAAATAAATAATAATTTTTGATGAATAAAATTTTGAAAAATGGTCAATTAGTAAAATATATTAAATCCACGTGTTACCTGCTGTCATTTGAATTTTGTATTAAAGATGTCGTCAGATCGACTTTTAAAAATTCAGTCTTGCTTTTTACTATTTCATCTGGTTGAGAGTTTAGTGACATTTTTGAGCCGAAAATATATAATATTGAAAAAATTGTTCCGCATTTCCGATGGCCACGCGGGAGGCCAATTCAAAGTTTACATTGCGACTGATTCAAATTGTACATCATAGTCTTCTTATAGGAGACTACAGTCATGGGGCACGCGCGAGCTTATCGATTTGTTCTCATAGTCACACCTTTGATAGCTTCATAGAGAAAACTTTACACTCTGACCTACCCTTGGAAATGGCAGTTCAAAACCCTCTCAGTCACGTGGCAATTAATAAACAGACATGCTCTCTTTTTATCCGTTTGGCATAATTACTACCAAAAAACCGCTGCCAAGTTGAAGTATATGAATTTTTTGTGTTCATTTTATGAACACTTTGCTTCCTAATTGGGATTTTTTGTAATCAATTTATGATAACTTATTTAGTATTATAATAATTTTAAACATCAATTTAATATTTTATAATAAAAGGTTCAATAATAGGTCAATTGATTACACAGAAAATTATAAGGTATTAAAATAAGCTGCAACGCTTATTATTTTAATCCAATTTTGCTTATTTTAATACCAAAATGGATTAAAATAAACAAAATTGGATTAAAATAATAAGCGTTGCAGCTTGTTTTAATGCCTTTTAATTTTCTGTGTTGTTTTAAAATGTTCTTCAAGTTGTTCATATAATAATTTTAAAGTTACATAAATATTTTTTAATAAATAATGCAAAAAAGGCAAGTTTTTCAAAATTTCTCAATTTCAAAATGTTTATAACTCTGAATAAAATAACAGTAAAATATTCCCAGATAGCACCAAACTTTATACAGGAAGTTAACGGCGATAAGTTTGGAAGTTAACGTTGATAACTTCCCGTTAACTCCCCAGAAGTTTTAAATGTCCTTAGAACAAAAAATATATATTTTTTTAATTTATCAGAACAAACTTCTTGTAAAATTTATGTAAACTTACTATATAAACTTTAGGCAAATTTATAGCTTTATAAATTCCAGCAAGTTAACAGTGTTAACTTAAACTCTGAGGACATTTAAAACTTCTGGGAAGCTAACGGGAAGTTAACAGTGTTAACTTCCAAACTTATGGCCGTTAACTTTCTGTTAACTTCCAAACTTATGGCCGTTAACTTTCTGTTAACTTCCTGCAAACTTCGGTGCTATCTGGGTTCGCTAATAGGTCAAAAGATACATCTTGAAAACCTCTACAAAATTAGAGATAAATATCTATGTCAATACATTTCTTTAAAGTTATGGGCAAAAAACGATTTTTCAAAAATTTTAAAATGCAAAAAAATAATAGTTAATCTTTATTAATTCAAAGTTCTCTCATCATTTGTTCGCTAGTGAGACTTATATAATTTTAAAAAAAAATTATCCTTTTAGCTCTTATAGTATTCGAGATATTAATGAAAATGTAGTGTACACAATGACATTTTTTAAAAATGTGATTTTTGGATTTCGGAGGTCGAAAAACATAAAAACATAAAAATTCGAGTTCGAAAAATTTCGGTATTACAATGCTTCATTTATGAGGTAGCAAAATATAGGTATATTCACTGAAATTACTAAATATTCATCTGAAGCATTATAATTTCATTTTGTTTGCTGTTCCAATTTTAAATTACACATTTTGACAAAAATTAAATTATTCAATTGAATAAAGCTATATAAACTATAAAGTGGAAGTATCCCAACATAGTCAGACGTATTTCATCAGAAGACAACTTATATTATATATTCTCTTATTTCTTCGTAAAAAAAACTTATTCCAAGTTTTAATTAATTTTTTCATATTTTTAAAACGCCTGCGGAACAATTCGCAGTTCTTTAGGAAAAATAATGTTGACAGTACTTATGAGTAATTTCTAAGAATTGCATCATATATTTTTATTTAATAAACATTTTCTTTAGATCAGCATTATAACACACTAGGTAATTGCTAAATAAGATATTAACAAGAAACGATACATATGGATATTATGTAAATTTTTCTTTAAGTCGTAATATCATTTTAATTATAATTTTTTTCCAGATCAAGTCTTTTTTTCTAGATCATAGTTGAATAAAACATATTTAAGATTTTTTTTTTAATTTGAGTTTTGTATTATCTATACATAAAATATTTTTAAAAATATATTACAATATCAATTATCGTACTTAATATTTATTAATTCCTATAGATAAAGCTAATTAATACGAAACATTAAACTTGTTAATGTATGGGAAATCTGTTTTAATAATTTAATGAAACAATATTAATTAGTTTTGAATACATAACACGGAAACGCATATTGTTAGTATATGCTATGGATTTAGAAATTTTGAAATACTGCAATTTGATATTGATTTAGTAACGTCTTACAACGATGATGAGTTTACTATTTTTCAAATTGAGATATTATTTTCAAGTTTCAATTTCAATTAACAACCTTATAGATACTTTCAAGGTTAATTTAATTTCAATAATTTCATACCGAAAAAAATGAAACTGAAACTGGCACCAAATTAATTTTGAAAAAATTTATGTTAGCAATAACAAAAATAAAGTTAATAAAAATAACTATTAATAAAATAATAACATAAATAAAGTTAATTTTTTTAACTTTATTTTTGTTATTGCTAACATAAATTTTTTCAAAATTAACTTGGGACGATAACACAGGTCTACAAAATAGGTATTTTTTTTACATGTCCGATGTTTTTATTTTTCTTCTCCTTAACCTGACGTGCTAGACACTTCTGTATAGACTTAAATTAAAGCTTAGATCGTACACTTTAAGACCCATATATGCAAGATTAAACAAAAATTTTTAATTTAAAAAAAATAGGGGTAAATACCCAAAAAACTGTGTTTTTAAAGTTGGTGTTTTCAGTATTTTTTTCTCCTTAACCTGCTCTCTAAATCTGAATTAGTAGTTTTCTACTAATGAAAGAGTGCGTATTCGTTTACCAATTGAATTAGTAACAGTTTTGACTAATTTTTAGTAAAAAAATTACTAATTCATGGAGTAAATCGGCTTACAAATTTGAAATAGTAAAAAATACGACTTACTAATGAATTAGCCCTGTGGGCAAAAAACCATGTTTCATGTCCACCAAATAATGTTCTGGAACATTATTTGAACATCCATGTTCTTAAAATGTTCCAGAACATTATTTGGCGGACATGAAACGTTCTAAGAACGTCCTTAAAACGTTTTTAGAACGAACATGGTTTTTTGCCCACAGGGAGTAGTTTCCTACTAGCAATTAGTAGTTTTTTACTAAAAATTAATCAAAACTGTTACTAATTCGTAAACGAATACGCACTAATTCAATAGTAGAAAACTACTAATTCAGATTTAGAGAGTAAAGTTAGAATATAAAATACTCTTTAAATAGAAAGAAATTTTTAAATTAATAAATAGTTTTTATTAAGAGTTTAGAAATTAAGAATTAAGAGGTGTTAATTTAAGAGAAAATATATAAAGAATGATAGAAAAGAGATAAGAATTTATATAAATTGAGTTTAAATGATTTGCAACATATTATGTTTTCTCGTAAATTGAAGGTTATAAGCTTGAGAAGCTATCAGTGGCCAAGGCTGTGAGACAAATTATTGCCTTGCATCAGCTGAGTGCATATTTCGACTTATTCGAAGGGATTCATTGGGGTCATCGTGTAGACTCGAGAGCTTAAAGTATATTTCGCGTAGAGATGTACTTGCGTGCGTTTATTATAAAATTTTCCAAGCATGTAGTAGTGATTGAGAATATTATATATATATATAGGGTAGGGTAGGATAATTATTCCTTCTGGACTAGGTCACATCTATGGAGGCCCACTTTTCTGATTACCCGGTTAAACGTTTGTATATTACACTCTATGACATTTGAATTGGTTGAAAGAGCTAAAAGGGCTAAGTAGCTATATACACACAAGTGTCCGTGTGTGAACCGAGAGCAAGACTTCGACCCAGACGGTTGCTCTTATTATTCACCTGCTTACTATAAGGGTCAAAATTTCTCAAGAATTTTTATTAACCGGAAATGCCAAATCGGACGAAATTTCATAGCAATTTACTCTCCATTATATTCGTGTGATTATTTTATTAAATGTCAAAATAAGTATACTTATGGCGTCACACATACCTTGTTTATTAAAAAGTTTCTTTGTTATTAAGGAGTAAAAAATTGTGTAAATTGTCAATTTCAACATTATATTGAGCAATCTCAAATCACAAATAGAGATATATGTTTTAACTCATATTGCAATTGCTTTTAATCTTATCATTATCCTAATCTCTTTAATATTTTAAAAATAGACAATTTCTCCTGTTTTTTTTATATATAAATGTATTTATAATAATAGCTTCTAGAAATGTTTTACAAAAAGTACTAAAAAATTTAGATTACTTTTTTTAAATAATTTTATTAATATTCATTAAATCCAAAAATTCAGTGCACCAAAGGGTACTAAAATATCTTGAAAATTTTTATCATTGAACTTGACCTAGAGTATTTAACGTGGCATTGAAATAGAAAGAGACTTATGCAATCGGAAAATAAATTTTAATTTTAAAATTTTCTAGCTAAAGATAATTTAGAATTTTTTTAAAACTGTAATTGTTTTTAGAAAAAATATAATCACTTTTTATTTCAAAATAAGTTAGCAAAAAAAATTATTCTAAGGATTTTTTTTTTGAAAAATTGCAAAAAAAAGTCAATACCGTCTATAACTGCTGATGATAAATGTTTATAAAGAAATTGAATAAAAATTTATTTTTTATTTTGAAGATAATGTTTTGTTTTTTTACAGAAAAAAAAAAATTTTTTTTCTCAAATAGTTGAAATTGAATAAGACGAAGCGTTGGTTATTGACCCTAGATCTATCGCAAGTGTTGCACTATATTGAATTAATTTTTAATTGCAATTAAAATGATACGAAGTGCGTTAGAAGTCGCGTGAGCACACGGTTACAATGCCAATTAGATCAAGCTCTAAGCCTGTATCACACAGAATACGAGCGTGTACAGTGTCATATATAGAGTATATATGTGATTTACATTTTATTAGCTACTCAAATAAATCTTCCTTGATTTCTTATAATTCGATTTCATTATTATTTATTACAAATTAAATAATAAATTATAAATAAATAATATTTTTCTAAATTGAAGATATTGGGTTTCTATATATACGCAAGAAAAGTGATATAAAAAATTTTAACTCACGTTATCAGCTAAAGGAGATTTCCTATCCATCATTGACTTTACACTTAAATCATTTTCCTCACGAAACTTAATTAAAACTATATATATATATATATCGTGTGTGCCACTTATAACACTACTAATATATAATAGATTTATTTCTAATGTGTATTTCTTCTCACTATAAGTGAGAACACATTTTACGCGTCCGACGAGATTTTTTTCGTCTTGTCCACAGCACTGTCATTTAAAACTTTCTAACTTCCCTTAATTCTTTTTATACTCATTTTGTGCAAAAACATTTATATTTTAATAGATAATAAACGAAATTGTTTATTTCCTTCAATAAAATTCATTAATTAATAACATCGTTTATTTTTTTTGAGTATTTTTCTGGATTTTCTTCAAGGCAATTTCTTCGCACTGAATATTATTTTCTTCAATGAATGCTAGTATTAAAGATTATTTCATTTGCAGAAGATTTATTTTCTTTTTGTGATTAAAAACTATTGGATAATTTTTTTTTCTTTTTTTTTGCAAAAATTGTTAATAAGAGCAACTTTCACGTTCGCGGATGCTCCCTAATGCATATGACACAGTGTCATTTGAATTTACACTGCGAAGACAGCGGAAATGACAAATTTCCATCGTTTGGAAGCCGAGGTCGAAGAGTTTCATTGGAACCTGAATTGGCTAAGCAAAAAAATTAGAGATCGAAATTTCTTCCTTCAAAAACTTGCTGAGATCGCCTGATGCCAAAGAATTCTCTAGACTTTAGTGATGTGCACTCATCTAAATTGATATAAATCTTGTGCTTTTAATAAGGTTTCAAATATATTTTTTTTGTCCTTTTTTTTTAATACTTAAAATGAACATAGTGTGTTTTAATTTGAAAAAAAGTTTTATTAAAGGAAAGTAAAAACTGAATTTAACTACTTCACTAAAATGAAATCGAAAAAAAAAAATTCTAAACAATCCGCTTTCAGCGGAGGGATAGTTGGCACTGGCAGATCTAACTTTCATTCACAGTTGCGCTGTACTTGACCATATTATCATCTCTGCGACACGTGTGTATACATACACTTTTACGATTCAATGAACATATATATATATATACATATATTTTATATATATGATGTCAATGTATACAATAAATATTATTATTTCTGTACATATGAACATATATCATACGTAAATACATATACATATAATGAGAGTGATTACAGGAGGAGACAAGGGGGTGTAGGTGGTCAAACCGCAGCACTAAACTGATGCCAAGATCATCTTCCAAGACTCTAATATAACTTGTTTGCTTGCCAATTATTATTATGTCTTTTGTTATTTCAAATTTTCAAAAAGATCATTTTTCAAATTTATTCAATTTCTTTATATGAATGTTGAAAAAAAATTAAATTTTACTTTTAAACTAATTAATTTTAATGATAATAGTTATCAAAAAATTAATTTTTAAGTATATGTCTTTTATTACTCTCTAAATTTGAATTTTTACTAATTTTTTAGTAAAATATTACTATTTGATTTAGTAGTTTAAATTTTTTTTTACTAAAGTTTTAGTAAAATGTGACTAAAAAAAGGGAAAATTCTTACTAATTTAAATTAGTTGCTTACATTTCACTAATTCAGATTTAGAGAGTAAAATTGAGTTAATTAAAATTAAATTTACTTTCAAATTTACAGACGGAAAAATTTAAAATTTGAATTTTTAAATATTTATTAATGTAAAAATCTAATTTTTATTCTATCTATATTAAATATGACTTTTGTTGCAAGTTCACAAAGCGCCAGTAGATTGATTTTTCATTCACCTTTTACGTAAAGTGGGTTGCATACATATAGGCGTATTTATTGATTTCAACCAACATAAATTATAATTATTTTTATACAAATTCTAGAAATTCGTATTTTCAAATTAGTTCAGATAAAAAAATATTTCTAAAAAATAAAATAAAAATATTTCTATAATTAAAAAAATTTGTTTTTAAAATAATGATGATAATAATAAATTTATCGAAATTCTGTATATATTTATGAAACATCAACCTGTCACTGTCTTTAATATTAATGTTTCTGGCTATGATAGCTTTAATGAAAAATTAATATCTTCCTTGGGTTTGATGAAATATTGACACACCAGATTGTAATTTTCTAATTTTCAATTTCGAAATATTGGCATTTTATATATATGGGTGATTCTATAAACGAAGGACGAAAATGATGAAAATATGGACACAACATTTTTTTCTCATTTAAGGTCTGAAAAGTACTTTAACTTCAAGTTAATGACACTAAAAAAGATATCTAAAAGTGGCCAGACAAAATATTAAAAATTACAAAAGTTATGGTTGTTTATAAACAATTTATCCAGGAAATTAGATCCTGTATAGAAAATTCACATTAACACAAAAAATAATGGATTAATTTTATTAAAATTAATACAAAATTTATTATTGGGGGGTTTTCGGGGTCGCTGATTACGAATCTGAGGTCAGTTTTTCAAAATTCAAAATGGCGGATCCAATATGGCGGACTTTTTTTTGTACAAAATCGTTCGGATTTGCTTGAAACTCTTTACTCTGGGGTTTTTGGGGTCGCTAAAAATTAATCCGATGTCAGTTTTTCAAAATTCAAAATGGCGGATCCAATAGGGCGGACTATTTTTTTAAAAATCGTTTGTATTTGCTTGAAACTCTCTACTCGGGGGTTTTCGGGCTCGCTGAAAATGAATCCGAAGTCTGTTTTTCAAAATTTAAAATGGCGGATGCAACATGACGGACAAATATTTAAAATCACTGGAAACTACTTACTTGGTAACTTTTCAAGGTCGCTGGTAACGATTCTGACGTCAGTTTTTCATATTTAAAATGTGCAGATCTACTGTATTAAACAAGTTTTTAAATTATTGATAACTAATCTAAAGTCCAATTTTTAAAATTCCACAATTTTTAAGATATTTCTTTAAAATAGTCAAATTTTGAAAATCTGGCTTGAAACTCGTAATCTGGTAATTCTAAAAAGAAAAGTAAGGAATGAAACATTTTTTGCACGTATAATTTTGATAAACAGGTTAATTTAAATTAATAAGTTTTTTCAAAATTCCTTTGCCATATTGGATCTGCTATTTTGAATTTTGAAAAACTGACGTCGGATTCGTAATCAGCGACCCCGAAAACTCCCGAGTAACGAATTTTACAAGCATCAATAAAAGGTATCGCTTTAATTAGTAATTTGTTTATAACGTGTGTTATAATCGTGTTATTGTGTTATTATAAAATTACGTGTGTTCTACTAGAACATAATTTTACAAATCACAAATCTGTAGGAGTACTTTAAGTGTCTAATAATAAAAAATATTTCGATTTTATTGTGATATTCATACGTACGATTCACAGGAAAAAAGAACTTTTTATTTGTTTATTTATATTAATATAATTATATATACAAAATGAAAATTAATGATTGGGATTTAGCAATATCTTAAAAAAGTGACTATTATTTTAAGTCAAGAAAATCGAAAATTGTTAAAAAATTATTAGTTTTACGCTGTTTTTAGTGCTTAATGTATATCCTGTCTCAAAAGTGTCAGACGAATGAGAATTTGGCAGTTTTTTTTAAAAAAAAAGGTAGAAACAACATTAAATAAAAAAATAAGCAATTCTATCCGATAGGGAATTCAAATTTGCAATACATAAGCCTATAAAAGGACCTAAAAATAATATTTTTTTCAAAAAAATGGATGCTAGACGAATGAGAATTTTTCTGGTCACAACACAATTTTGGTCAGAAATTGAGAAATCTTGGTTAATAGAATAACAGATTAAATAAAACGCGCGTGGTATCACATTTAGTTTACTTTAATTAACAACAATAATGAACTGTAACTTCACAGAAAATTAAAAGGCATTAAAATAAGCTGCAACGCTTCTTATTTTAATCCAATTTTGCTTATTTTAATCCATTTTGATATTAAAATAAGCAAAATTGGATTAAAATAAGAAGCGTTGCAGCTTATTTTAATGCCTTTTAATTTTCTGTGTTCATCAGAATGTTGATTTTTAATAATTTTAACGTGTTTTCAACTGCCAGACGAATGATGACAAAATCCAGGGACAAAATTCAAGAAGATATTTTATAAATAAGATATAGAGTAATGTCATAATTATTTCCACATTAATAATCTACAACTATTCAAAATTACTAATCCAGTATGAATTTTCCGCTAAATACTTGAAAAATAATATTTTTTCGGGACATGCCAGACGAATGAGAATTTAGCACTTTGATGTGTATATTTTTTGCAAGAAATATTTTTTTCATCGGCTTCTTTTTAGTGTCACAATAGAAACTATTTAGATTTACAATTTTCATCAAAAATAAAATTATTTTTTTCAAAATTAATATACAAAATAAGCTTGACCGCTCATAATTCCCTCATTTGTAGAATCACCCATATAATTTTCAGAAAAAGAAAGTTTTTAAAAATTTTTCTTCATTTCTGGTTGCATCTTTCTTTTTTCAATAAAAAAAATGATATTCCGCGATATAATAAAAGTGCAATTATCCGAGATTGATGCGTTGATACCATGATAAATATTCGTATTGTCTGCTGACGCAAATATGCTTATATTTAAAGTTGAAAAGTAGATTATGAAAAAAATGTAAAGAAAATTCTGATAACACAAGTCATTCAAGGTTCCTTTTGAACGTCATTTATATATCAAAAGATGGAAATTATATAGCAATTATGTTAAAAAATTTATGATTAATCAAGATCGATGTTGTTAGATAAGGATTATAAATTTTTAGTCCTAAATCGATAATTCAGAGAAAGATTATATATTGCAATTTATTATTTCTTAGAATCTTATTATCTTCTAATTAACCTTATAATTTATCAGATTTTATATTTAAAAGTAATTGTTTCATGAAATATTATAATAAAAATTTCAATTTAGAAAAAAGTTTACTATTTTAGTAAAGTATTCTCGGAGGATGAATTTTGTATTTATATAGAAATATATTGAAATCAAATTATGAGGTAATTAAATTTTGATCCTGCAAAATGAAATTTCTTTAAAATTTACTTAAGAAATTTTTTAAAGCAATAAATTGTCTGCATAATTTTGTTATCAATCTCAAGTCAATTTTTTGTTCTGTAAGTACAAACTTTTTTTTATATTTTTAAATGTTTAATATGTGGCGCGTCGCGAAGAAAGGGACCTTAGAAGCAAAAAATTATAGAAATTTTATAGTGAAAATACACAAAGAGAATTAAATTTTAATGCAAACTAATGATGTTTAAGTCTTTTTTATATTTAAAATAAGCAATAAAAACAGATTTTTATGTTGTAGACACGAAAAGAAACTTTTAATCAAGGTAAAACTGTTGTAAACATAACCTATAATTCATTTGCTTCTAAGATACCTTTCTTGTCACATATATAAAATTTTATAACTAACCAGCAGTCGTCTTCAGGTTTGAAATGTGTTTTGTCCATTTTAAGGAAGCGTCTCATTTCGGTTAGGATCTCTTTCGTTCTTCCTTTCTTCTTCTTCAGTTGATCGAGTTAAACATTCACACGTGTTAATAATATAAAAAACAAATTTTGAATAAATGTAAGAATCACTTTCTGTAACCATTGAAGACATTCAAAATAGAGAACGATATTAATAATATTACAGTTGTTAAAGGAAGAAAAAAAAAAGTTAATAAAAGTAATAAAGAAGAAGATTATGAGATACAGTCTTCTTCAATGACTTTTGTATTCTGACGTTTGAGTCGCTTCATTCGTGATATTAATAATATTATTATCTTTGTGGATCTTTATACAATCAGGAAGTATGTAATCTCATTTTCATATCACGATCTAAACAAAGTCCAATTTGTTTATTGTTTATCGGTATGACGTTATATTTATTTGGGAAATTGTTAATTGTGATTTTTAGAAAACGAAAAAAACAAGAAATTAAATTTTTTATTACAATTTCATGAATAATACTTGTTTTGAAGATATTGATAAACATTTATAATTAAAGGCGGAAGGGACTATATTGGGGCGCATGATTATTCCACAATGTGAATCATTTAGAAATTTCATTTTATAGAATTTTTATTCGAATTTGTGTTTTTCGAATTGATGTTTAATAGAATTTAAATAAACCAGAATTTATACTTAACAGAATTTCTATACATAATCAAATTATTATTTAACAGAATATTCTTTTAACATAATTTCCATTTAGCACACTTTTTATTCAAAAGAATTCTTCTTAACACGAATTTTTATATATCAGAATTCTTATTAAACAGAATTTCGCCTGAGTCGAATTTTTAAATGACAGAATTTTCATTAAACCAAATTTTCATTTATCCGAATTTTTATTAACACAAAATGTCATTTAATAGAAATCTTAAAACTTAGAATTTTTATTTATCCTACATTGCAAATGGTCGAATAATCAAATGGCAGAAATATTTCGGCGACAATTTTAAAACTGACCGATCAGAAATTGTCAAGAAAATTGTGATTGGTCAATTTTAAAATTGGCGCCGAAATATTTCTGCCGTTTAATTATTTGACTCGATTCGATCATTTGTAATGTAGAATAAATGAAAATTCTGAGTTTTAAAATTTCTATTAAATGACATTTCGTGTTAATAAAAATTCGGACAAATGAAGATTTTGGCATTTAAAAATTTGACTCAGGCGAAATTCTGTTTAATAAGAATTCTGATAAATAAAAATTCGTGTTAAGGAAAATTCTTTTCAATAAAAAGTGTGCTAAATGGAAATTATGTTGAAAGAATATTCTGTTAAATAAAAATTTGATTACATAGAAATTCTGCTTTATTTAAATTCTATTAAACATTAATTTTTTAATTAATTAATTTTTAATTTTAATGAAAATTGAATAAAAATAGTTCCTATTTCAATAATTTGCTTTCACTAGAAAAATGTAAACTTCTCTTTTGAATCAGAACGAATAATAGAAGTACAAATTCAATTTAACTCGCAACGAGAATGAATTGCAAGCTGAGTTTCATATTTCAGCCACGCTATATCACTGCTGTCCGAAAATTCATTTATGTCAGTCATGTCGAGAACCTTGTGTCTAGGAAAATTATTTGTTTTTCGCAAAAACTAAATATAAATAACATACACATGTGAATAATGATGATCAAAAAACATCCATTGTTTCCCGAAAATTTTTGTTTTAACATTTTTGATAACTACACTTTATGTATATGAGAAAAATTATTTCAAATGTAAATGTATAAAAACTTTCACATTTCATATAATTCTATAAAGTTTCATCACACGATGAGATGATGTGCATCTCCTCTCGCCCACCTAGAAAAAGGGGGAAAAAAAATTCCAAAGGAAATGAAAAGAGGAAGTTGAGAGAAAATAACATGATTTTTCATTTATAAGGTAAAGAGTTTCATTGTGAAAAATTCACCTATTTTAAAAAGTCATATTATATATATGTAAATTAAAGTGGTATAGAAAAAGAATGTTATATTAAATTTTATAAAGTAATTATTTTAAAATTTTCATTATATAAAAAAGAATTAAGATAAAAATTTTCTCTAACTTTTTACTTTGGAAAATGACATAACTACAGGTAACGAGTTTGTCTTCATATAGAATCGAACCGGCGTGTCAGAGACACACCCACATGACCGGAAGTCAACTCACAACAATCGAAATCGGAAGTGATTCCGGTACGGTGGTCGGGAAGCGTGGATCCATTGTTAGAAAATGTCCATGAGATAATATTGTCTTTTTCGAATTTTACGCTGTAGCAATTACTGAATGTCAATAATTTTTCTGTCTCTACTTGGAAAAACTGCTCTAGCTTTACGTCATGAAATAAACCTGATTCAGTTCCCGCCGTGTTTCTGTCAACGAAAGCTATCCCAACTCGTAATATTTACGATGGGTTAATAAAGAGGATTAAATAACATGTATTTTTTAAGTGCTTCTCTTTAAAAAAAAAAAAAAAAAATCCTGACAGTTAAATAAATTTTCTCTCTATATAGAGAATTTTATTGAATTTGTCGATATATGGAAAAAAAATCTTTGAAAGTAACAAGTTTGACATTTGGATATATTTTTTTTATGAATTTTTAATTTAAGTGAAGTTTTATCATTTTTCATTGTTTTGCAATGTGTCTTCTTTTGGAGAAAGTGTTAAGAGGATGTTGGGTTGTTTTACACTCTCGCTCGTGACAGAGACATATGTTTCGGAATTTTCCCAGTGTGCACATATCCAATGGGCATTCCATGAAAATTCCTCACCTGATTTACTGAAAATTCAAGCTTCTTGCGGTTACTCTTTCTTCAAGTGTGTGATTTATTATCTATGTAAAGAATCATAGTGAAATTTTACTGAAGAAATAAGATTTTTACTTTTTTTTAAAAAAAGTCATTTAACAAGGTCAGAAAATAATGTCGTTTTTAAAGATTTTCATTTTACCCACGGAGAAAAAAGGATAATTAAACTTATCCTGGGGAGTGTAAAACTTGTCAAAATTTCAGTGTTAACTATAGAAATTACTACCCAGATAGCACGTAAGATTGCAGCATCCTTGCGGCAAGCTTACCGCGCAATATTGCCAACCTTGCACGGCAAACTTGCCGCAAGCTTTCTACAAGCTTCGAATGTCCCACCTGACCGAAAACTTACATTGTAAGCTTACCAGAAGATTGTAGTGTAAGGTAAAGGTTACTGCATGATTGAACAATAAGATTATCGCAAGATTACTCAGTAAGCTTGCACGGTAAGTTTGTAGCAAGGTTGGTGCAAGGTTGCCAAATAACCTTGCTTTAAACCTAACACATTTTTTAAAAATGTTTCATCTAATTTATATAATGAAATTATATAAATTAGACAAAACATTAAAACACGGAGAGAAATAGATGGTACGGGGTACTATCTAGATAGTACCAGGTACCATATTTGATCTTACATATACGGACAGCAATCTAGATTCTATCAGTTACTATCCAGATTGTACGGGGTAACATCATGATTGTAATGGGTAACATAACCATACTTTTTGTAACATCTTTGATAGTACCGAGTAGCATAACGATAGTACCGGATAACATCTACTTTTTACCATCTTAAGATCATAAATTCTTACCATCTATTTCTCTCCGTGAAGAAATTTTTTTAAGTTCAAATCAAGGTTATTTGGCAACCTTCCACCAACCTTGTTACAAGCTTACCGTGCAAGCTTTCTGAGCAATCTTGCGATAATCTTATTGTGTAATCTTGCAGTGACCATACACTTATATTTCGACAAGCTTGCAGTAAGCTTGCGGCAAGTTTGCCGTGCAAGGTTGGCAATATTGCGCGGCAAGCTTGACGCAAGGTTGCTGCCAGCTTACATGCTATCTGGGTACCTTCGTAGTGTCAGAATGAAAATAATCAGATTTACCCTCCAGGAAGGAGAAATACAATTTATTGGTTTTATTCAAGTTTTTGAAAAGAAATGTTTAACTTGAACAAATTTAAAAATAATATTAGAAAAAAATCATTTTAATACAATAGAACTTATTTGAACTTATCAAAAAGATAAAAATAATTGAAATCCTGTAAATTTTGAATCTCTATAGAAGTTAAAAATATTTAAAAAAAGTAAACAATTATTTTTATGAGTAAGAAAAGCTATAATTTTGAAATGTCAAATTTATTTATAGATATTCTATCGAAATAATTAGTTTAAATTTCCTGGAGTGTAAAACAAATAATGAAAATAATGTACCATTCACAAAGAAAAACTATAGATTAAGAGAAAAAAATTATTTCTGCATAAGGAATTGAATTTATTGAAATTACCATGGAAACCTATTCATCGAAGATGATGAGGTTGGCTAAATTTTGCTAGTTCGATCATGCGGAAATATTCAATCAATTAGTCGCATTAGGCTTGATCGTTACGAGAATGGCATTGAGCCAACTGATATTCTACAAACCGCAATAATAACCAACGGAATTCATCTACTTTTCCAATAATTGTATTTCATTTCATTTAATTATTATAATTGATTTATTCATTTCTCTCATATGAATTGTGAAAGAAAATAGATTTTCAATGAAAAAAAAAAAAAAAAAAATGATATAAATATACATGCGTACTGACAAATAAATGAATGGGCAGTGTGAATATTTTATTAACGAAGCACATTCAAATTTTAATGCGCGGGAAATATTCTACATCTTTATAATTCTATTTCAAGTTCTATTCGATTAATACTTGTTTGATTTACGAATATGAATGCACACGTGGTTCGTTTTGTACATGGATTTATACCCATTTGTGAATTCCAAGCACGTATTACAATCTAAAGCGAAAACTGGGTGCATAATGTGCTCGAAAAAAAAAATTCCTGAATATGATTTAATAGGTTTAATATTTATATATGCATATAAACAATAGAAATTAAAGTTGAATATTTATTAATTAAGGTTTAAGTAAATAAAATTCAAGTTTTATTTATTAAAACAACTGAAGATGTTTTGAAAGTGAAACAATAATTAAAAATTAATGATTGTTTACATTTAACTGAATATTCATAGATGATTACAGCTCAAGTGATGGTTCTTTGATCTTCGCAACCCTTGTGCATTGCAGTGTTGCAATTAAGGTTGAAACTATATATGGACAATACTATATCTCTAACACTGTAAATCAAAGACTGAACTTTCACCGTATAAGTATAGATCTAAAGTTATACTGTTTACTCAAGAGTGCAATTTCCAGGTGTATTTTAATTCAAAATTTACATTTATATCTGAATATTAATAATTTTTTATTTTCTAATATTAAATTATTTTCTTTTTGTAGTGAAATATGGGTTGTGCACCAAGTGGAACGAATCTGCGTTTGATGACAACTAAACACACATTTACAAAAGAGCAATTAGATAATCTCAATAATTTTTTTAGGAAATCTGTTACAAACGTGGAAAGTACGTTAAATTCTATACTTTATATAGAAAGAATTTTTTTTAATTAATAATAATGTTATTGTACAAGTTTTAGCTACTTTTTTAAAAATGTAAAATCTAATTTCTTTTTACAATTACCTCAGCTGCTTTTAAAAAAAAGAATCCATAAAAATGAAAAATAAAAATGAATTTTTACAGCTTCTCTAGATATTATTGCCATTGAATCAACCGTGGAAAGATTAGTGCAACGTTTGGTAGCGAGAGTATGTAATCTCGACCGCAGATTCTCATCCATGTTCCTCGTTTCGCTCAATGAACGTCGTAGGATTAAGGTATAAGATAAATTTTTTAAAAAAAGTAAATAAAATGAAGAAGAGTATATATGGGATGGTCCAATTTATCTCTAGAGCTTAAATTTAATTAACTGTCATGCTGCAGCATACTTTTTCTTTATAATGAAGATTCATAAAATAAATACCCAGTAGCGCGAATATTCGATTCAAGGATTAAATAGAAATTATTTTAATTATATAATAATAAAATGCTTGGTCTGTCCTTCTGTCCTAACTTGAAGTTGGTCTTTTCTGATTTCACGTGTTTTTTGAATTGTAATTTTATGACGTGTCAAATTTGTGTCAAATTCTGACAATTCTTTTTCTCGTTTTTGCGAAAGTTGTATAATTGTGTTTCCAAATTTCGGAATTAGTTTCTTTAAAATTCCAAATTCAAATTCAAAAAAGTATGAAGTACACAACGTTTATTAACGAAATTTTTGTTTAAAGTTATATAATGACCCTAAATTACATATATTTATTGTAGGCGGAATGTTTAAAGCATTTTTCAGATAAATATTCCGCCTATGTTAAATATGAGCCGCCGGATATTATAATTAAAATTTCTACAACGGTATTCGTTGGCCCCTGGTACCTTAAAGATCAATTTTTAAAAATAAATTTTTTCAAATTACTATATATCTTGTAGGAAATTTTCTGGTGCATCTTTATTCTCATCATAAATTTTTTTTGTATTTGTAACAATTTTTGAGAAAAAAGCAAAAATATAAAATTAAAATTTTTACTTTAATTCGTTCTAAAATGAAAAGTTCTGAATATTTTTCCATACAATTTACAGGAGTTATAGTTTAAACCATCCTTTAAATGATTCTTAATAATAATTCTTCATTTTTTAGTTAGAAAAAAATTTATTAATTCCTCTGAATAAAATGTTTATTGATACACAATAAAGATTACTGTAAAGTTTTATTTTCATACACTTTTTTTTATTATCAATGAACATTTTATTCAGAGGAAGTTTATCCTCAGAGAAAATTCCCTAGATAAACGAAGCTTTTGAATAATATTAAGCCTTGCAGCACTGAGCAACAAAAAAATTAATAATTTTTTTAAAATTAAAAATGAATTATTATTAAGGATCATTTAAAGGATAGTTTAAACTATAAATCCTGTAAATTGTATGTAAAAGTATTCAGAACTTTACATTTTATAACGAATTAAAATGAAAATTTTAATTAAAAATTATTTTTAGGAAAATTAAGTTTTTTGCATTTTTCTCAAAAACTGTTACAAATACAAAAAAAATTTATGAAAAGAAAAAAGATGCGCCAGGAAATTTCGTACAAGATAGTAATTTTTTTTTTTTAATGTTTTTGTTGATAAACGTTGCGTACTTCAGCTTCGTTTCAATTCTATTAAATATTAATTATATAAACATATAATTTTCATTATTATCATTTACTTAATATGTAATAATTTTCTAATAAATTTAAATTATTATTGATAATATTAATTTTAATTTCTTTATAACAAACAATTACATACTCAATTTGGCGCGCTTGCGAGCGTTTAACTTTGCTAGTTGATAATAATTAAAATTGAATTCATTTTTATTATCACCTAATGCGAACAAACTATGTTTATTTAAGCAATTGAAATTTGAGTACCTCTTAAGAATTGACGCTTTGTCAACGCCAGTAATAAACAGTGATGAGGAATCAGCAGTAAATGTAGAAGAAGATGCAAGTATGCCAGGATTCATTCGACTTAAAATTCGAGCAACTGTTGCTGAAAATTGGGCTGAATTTTTAGGATCAGGGGGAAGAATTCGACGTGATCTTATTAAAGCAAAAATTGCGAATCTTTTGGCTATCGCAACTAGACAAGGTAAAATAAATTTTAATAAAATAAAATAGGAAAACAAAATTTTAATTAAACTAATTTAGTTGCCAGCGGATTTGAAAGTTCTGACGAAGATAGGATGTCGTTATTACCGGGTCAAATAGTCGATGCAGAAGTTTTGGATAAAATTCTAAAGCAACCGGATCATTGCAGAATATTCTATGGACCAAGTAAAAATATATTTTTTTTTATTCAAATATTATAATTGAAAAACAATCTTGAAAGTTAACTTAGGAATACAGCTGTTACATTTACTGTCATGTTTTCTCTCTCTTGTTTTCCTTAATTGCGAGGAAAACAATTTAATTAAACCGCTCAACATGACGTGTATTATGCTAACGCTTTGTGGTTTCTAAAATGTCTCGTCAAGAAACTCGTGATTTCAGTGCTTTGAGTATATGCCAAGGTGTGATTTAATTATAATTAGTGGCAATTATTAGTTTTTGAATATAGTGGTAATATATAATTGACGTAATAAAATCTTCTTATTTTTACATTAATAATTTCAAAAAAAAAAACAAAGAATGATTAGTACTTTTTGTTCAGCATCTTCGGAAAGTGAATTTCCCGAATTACGTGAAAATCGAGTTGCTATAGTTGAGGATTCCAGTGGAATACTATTGAGAATAGGACTTGAAGGTAGTAGCAAATCCCAGGATGTCGAAGTGAGGCTCTTGATTGGTGCTGCGGTTCAAACGTGGTCAACCACCGCTGATTATCCTCGACGAGTGCCGCTTTACCACTGCGATACACTACTTCACTATTGTGCTGCGCAAACTGTAAGTTTATTAAAAGAAATTAACTAGAAATTCGCAAAAATAACATAAGGAAAATAGTTTTTTTTTTAACTATTTGGGAAAATCTCCAGAATAGGACGATTTAACGTTATAAATATGAAAATTATTAAATTACACGCACCCATTTGATTTGTAGATATAAATTTTGGAAGTATTTTTAGAAACTAATCATTTTCCATTAGTGCTGAAATAATTAAAACTTAATATTTCTTGGCTAGTAAAAAAACAAATGACGACTATTAAACCTTAAGATATGTTTATATTATGTCAATTTTTCTAATAATCAAATTTAAAAAAATAATTGTTTTTATTAGTTTTGAAATGTTTTTATATAGAGTAAATATGTAGCGTTTAGAAATAATAATATTGATAATTATTTCTATCGTTTCCCAGATAGCACGTAAGCTTGCAGCAACCTTGCAAGATTAATGTTACCGTCCCACCTGACCCAAACTTGCATGGTAACTTTACCGTAAGATTGCAGTGTAAGGTTACTGCAAGATTGCACAATAAGATTATGGCAAAAATGTTAAGTTCAAAGCTTACTACAAGCTTACTAAGCAATCTTACAGTAACCTTACACTGCAATTTTTCGGTAAGCTTACCATGCAAGCTTGGGTCAGGTGAGACATTTAAAGCTTGCGGCAAGTTTGCTGCAAGCTTACTTACTATCTGTGTTACGACAAATGATATTTATTTCAATTTTACAATATAAATATTGTGATTTAATAAATTTTCTCTATTACATATGTTCTCAAATGGCACTGATATCTATAAATAAAATTCCTTTGGAATATCTGCGAATATAAAATATTCCCAAGGTAACTTCAAGGAATATTTTTGAAAAATATTTTTTGAGCATACCGAAATTATATTCAGAGAATATTAATTAATATTTTTGAAATAAAAAATATAGGAATATTAGGAATATTATTATTATCATTATTATTAGGAATATTATTATTATATTTATTATTATATTATTTTCTTTATTTTATATAGGAATATTTTTAAAGAATATTCCTTGAAGTTACCTTGGGAATATTCTTTATTCGCGGATATTTACCTACTTCCAAGAACCTTTCTGGAATATTTTTTGGAAGGTTCCGAATATTCCAGTAAGGTTCTTGGAATTTGCTGTGCTGTCTGAGATATTTATTTATGACGCGCTATGAAGAAAAGAACCTTAGAAGCAAACGAATTATAGGTTATGTTGATGGTAATTTTACCTTGATTAAAAATTTCCTTTTACTTTTGTAAAATTAAAATCAGTTTTTATTATTTTTGATGTAATGAAGACTTAAATATCAATTATTTCTATTGAATGTTGATCCTCTTTGTGTATTTTCAATTAAAAATTTCAAAACATAACCTATTTTTTTTTTTTTTGCTTCTAAGGTCCCTTTCTTCAGAGCCTGTCACACAGCCCATTTATGTTATTAAAATATTGGTTTCTAAGTAACATGAAATTGTCCGATTCCATAAATTTACCCATTTACTACAAGGATTTTTTTCTTACAATATGTATAATTTTTGTATGCTTATAGGGAATGTTTGCCACATCTGTAGGTCCATATCCGGGAGTACGTTGTGAAGATCGAGCAACTTTATGGAGAATTCGGTTTCCAGCTGCCGAAAAAATGATGTCACAACATTATTCTGAAGAGAGCATCCCTTCTTTAACAGATTCGATTCTTCAGGAAATACTCGATCAGCTGCAAGGCAGAAAGTCATTGGATTTTCATATAAAGCGAAAAGTATGTACAAAAAAGAAACATCCTTTATAAAAGTGACTACAATATGGGTATATATATATACATCTTAATATCCATATCTTACAACGCTTTAAAAATTCATGGATATTCTTTTGCGGTAACTTTAAAAACTTAAAAAATGAGTAAAAGAACCACCCCTTTAAAAAAAATCTTTTAACTTGTATTATTTTTTTTTAAAAAAGAAAATCTTAAAAATGATTTGAAATATTTCCTTCGACCCTTTTTTTACTTTGATGTTTCTTTTTATATTCAGATCATATAGATACTTTTTATATGATTCCTTTGCGAGATTTCTACATTTTTCATTTTCTGGTTGGAAAAATTTTTTAAGGATGGTTATCTTTGAAGTACGCGCTCGCGTTCATTAGTCAAATAATTTAAAGTAAAAAAAAATTTTTAATATACACACAATTATTAAAAAATTATTCGCCTGAAAGAAGTTTGTGCACACAATTTAATTCAAATTTTTACATTTTATGCGGAAGTTGCAGAAATTGTTTCAGTCGAGAGTGGAGGAGTCTGGAATGCATAATGAGAAAAAATTTAAGACTTTTCTCTTTTTTTTCTCGCGTCATTTTCACTCGTTTTAAATGATTAAATGCATACCAAAAAAGTGTGGAAAAAAAATGTATTTGATTTTCACACTTATATGGTATTTTTTTCACGAGGAAAATTTACACCGTAAATAACAAATATGATTCTTTTATGAATCTTTAATGCCTCTTTACTATATCGCTAAGAAGGAAAGTGAGAATTTGTAAATTGAATCTCAATTGAATTTTCCTCGCCAAGCGAGAGAGTATAGAGCTGATCCGTATATTGAATATTTTGCGAGTTTCGTTATATGTTTGAATTCTTGCGGTAGTGAAAATCAAATTGTAATAACGGCGACTTTAAAATCGCATTTAACATATATTTTTATTGTAACAAACACAATGAATAATACATAATTTCGTATAATTTTCGGTCATGAAAAATTGTAGTAATTATCATTTTCTATATTTTATTTTTACTACTTGCGTTTTTAGTAATAAAAAGTTTATTCGAATTTTATTCGTTGAATTCAAAGAGATTTTCTTAGCTTGTGTGACTTTTAGAAAAAATCACTGCTTTCTAAAGGTACTTCATTGATTCTGTGAAAGTACCATCCTGAAATTTTGATTAGAGTTCTCAATAGGAAATATCTCACAGGAGAAAATATAAAAAGAGTTTTCGTTTGATGTAGAGTGTCCAAAATTTTAGATTTTATAGACACTTTTTCAAATGTTTTATAAGAAAATAGTTTTTTTTTTGCTTATTATAAAAAATTGTGTTAATTAAATTAAACTGACTTAATAAAATAATGAACAGAGAGATCGTAATTGAAATAGAAAAAAGTTTAATAAATTTTTATTTGAGGAAAAAGAATTTTTCAAAGAGAGAAATAAATGAAAATGCGCTTTCAGAAAACTTTGAAAATTGTGAGTCGTCATATTGTGCGAACGATTCATTGGTGGTCACTTGAACGAGCTGGTCCAGACCCTTTGAGAAGCTGGGCACCGGAAACTTTATCTCGACATGTTCTCCTATGTCTTGATGAGTTAGTGAGAGCTCTTAAATGTCAAAATTTGAGGTGTTACTTCCATCCCCGATGTAATGTGATGCTTCAATGTGCAAAAGGTGATAATAATTTATTTGAAATTCTATAATTGTTTCTTATAAATATTAATATTTAATTTACATAATTTATCAACAACCAAGTCATCAGAGTGAAAAAATAATTGTTATAGCTTTTTGAAGCTTTTTCGTAAATAAATTCATTTGCAAGGCAGACATTTACAAATTGGAATCAGAATGTGTAAGATATTTCGAATAGTAGTTAAATTGCAAACGTGAAACACACACACACATATGTACATATGTGTAGACTCCGTTAAAGTGTTCACTTATCTTTTTGCAACTGCGGTGTTTCACTTAATTGGAAACAAAACTACCTAGCAAGCAAACCTAGGCGTTCAGTGATGCATGAAAATGTTCATGTTTCAAATACATGTCTCTTGTCAGAAGATACTTTATAACAATTATTCGCTTAATATATTTGTACACTAAATTTATATTGATAAAACATTTACAAAAGAAAAAGAAAATTATTTTCATTCACTTTAAATAATTAATACTCATCAAGTTATAAAAGAAAGTGGAATACGTAATATAATTATAGTTGATTTGAAACTGGGATTTTATTTTCGAAAATCAGAAAGACATTTTTTTGCAGAAAAATCAATTAATTATTAATAAGGATTAAATTGTTCATGCGCTTTTTTAAGTTAAAATCAATAAAAATATTTTATATCTATTTTTGCTAATAAATCAAATTAAAATACATTTATATATTGAACTGCATTTAGTATATAAGATAAATATTTTATATCAGTATTTATTTTTATTATTACACCGTCCGACACGATTTTTGACACACAAAAAAATCCAACATTTTCGGAAACTAGGACCAAAAAAAAAACCCCGCACTGCAAAAAGAAGTATCTTATTTTAAGATGTTTTGGTCGCTTTTTTAAGATGTTTTTTACAACTTGCTTCTAAGTTATCAAAAACATCTTAAAATGCATTAGTTTCTTAAGATATAAGATAGATAGGAAGATACTTTTGGTAACTTGCTTCCAATGTGTCTTATAATAAGATACTTCTTTTTGCAGTGCGTGTCTGGCCGTTTTGCTTGATTAAGTCGTTTGTGGTTTTTAGGGGTGAAAACAACCCCTAAATGAAAAGTGACATGATATCTTTTAAAAATTATTAATATTTTATAAAACTTGTTATCTGGGGGTTTTCGGAGTCGTTAATTATTAATCTGATGTCAGATTTTCAAAATCCAGAATGGCGGATCCAATATGGCGGACTTTTTTAAAAAAAATCGTTCGGATTTGCTTGAAACTCTCTACTCGGAGGTTCAAAATTTAAAATGGCGGATGCAACATGAGGGACAAATATTTCAAATCACTGGAAACTACTTACTTGGTAACTTTTCAGGGTCGCTGTTAACGCTGGTATTATGTGCAATAATTAAAATGTGCAGATCTACTGTATTAAACGAGTTTTTCAATTATTAATAACTAATCTAAAGTCCAATTTTTAAAATTCCACAATTTTTAAGATATTTCTTTAAAATAGTCAAATTTTGAAAATCTGACTTGAAACTCGTAATCTGGTAATTCTAAAAAGAAAAGTAAGGAATGAAACATTTTTTGCACGTATAATTTGATTCGTAATCAGCGACCCAATAAACCTCCGAGTAATTATTTTCAGACAAATATATTAAGTTTTTTCAAAAGTTGTCCGCCATATTGGATCCGCCATTTTGAATTTTGAAAATCTGAATTCAGATTAATAATCAGCGACCCCGAAAACCCCCAGATACCAAGTTTAATAAAATATTAATAATTTTTAAAAGATATCTTGTCACTTTTCATTTAGGGGTTGTTTTCACCCCTAAAAACCACAAACGACGTGATTGAGCAAAACGGCCAGACATGGGTATTTTTTTTTTGGTTCTAGTTTTCGAAAATGTTGGATTTTTTTGTGGGTCAAAAAAAAAGTTGAATTTTATCGGACGGAGTTACTTTTATTGAAAAAATTTTTTTAATGAGATGTGAACTGAAAGGAAATGCCTGTCACTCTTTTAATAGCTTGAAGTCTCTATTTAATAATTTTAAATAATCTTGTAAATTATGTACGATAAAAGATATCTTGAAATTTCCGATACAGAAATTTTAAAGAAAATTTATTCAATAGAAAGAAGATAAAATCTTTTCATTTTTATAAAAGAAAACCTTTTTTTGGAAATTATTAAGATGACAATAAGTTAACATTATTAAAGTAATCTCATTATTTGAAACATTTAAATTAAAAATTTTTTAAATTCTTTTTTTAAAATATATTTTTTAAGTCAAATTCGGGCTATATCTATAGAATATTTTACAAAAATCTCAAATATCTAAATTTATATATTAGATAAACCTTAAACTTGAGAGTTACAATTTTTTTAAGAACCTTATATATTGAACCATGAGAGAAAGATGGAAATCATAAAAGTTTTAAAGTCTGGAGACTATGGTGATTCAGACAAGGTTAGCCAACAGGATTTTCCGGACTCTCTTATGCAAAAATATTGAAAGAAACTTTAAGAATGATACCTTTTTCCACTCTTTTTTGCAGTTCATATGTCAATAAGTGGAAATATCAAATTGAAATTTATTGTATATGACAAAAGTTGAAGTCTTATTTGAAGATTTGATAAATGCTAATATAATTATAAAAATATATATAAATTTCATATCTATATACAATAAAATTTATTGATGTATAGGTAAGATTTTTTATACTTATTTTAATATGAAAATCGAACTTGTTTAAAATATGTATATATATAAAAAAGATGTCGAATATTCAGAACATTCGTTTATTCTTTCGCTTATTCATCGGAAGACAGGAAAATATACTTTCTTTTGCCAGCATGAGGGGTTTTTTTTTCCTTAGAAAATGTAATGCTGAGCTTCAAGGACAAATCGACAAGCTTTATTTCAGAGGGGAAAAAAGAATGTTAGCATTTTTCAAGAAAATTCGTTGTTTGAAGAAACTTGATATATACTGAAGAATATATTTTCATCTCATTGAGATGCATAATTTTTTAATAACTAATAATTTAAAATGCAAATTTATTTTTTATTTCAAATTATTAATTTATTTTCTTTTCTATTCAAGGTGGAATTCTTCATAATGATGATTCTTATACGTCAGATTCAAAAATTGTAGAAGAGTATTTATCATTTTTGCATACAAAATCGGGAATTATGACAAATGCGGAAGTAAATACAGCAGACTTAATGGAAACTGAATTAATTTCTCGATGGCAAAGAGTTTTGAATTCAATTCCAAAGGGTGAAATGGAAGGATATTGTGGTTATAGTTTAAACCAATTGGAATATTTAAGTTTAGTTGTGCAACAAGTACTTAAAGCTAAGGATGCGACACTACAGGTTCATTTTTAATTTTGTTTTTTATTTGGTTTTAATTTTTTTCTATATATTAAATATATTTTTTAGGAATGTTTCGATAACTCTCCATTATTAAGTTTTCTTGTGTCTCCACCTCATTCTTTTGAGCCAATAGACAATTTAGTTTATCTCTTGACTTTGGTTCTCAAACAATCAAGAGAACAGATTTACGCTGTGATGGATCACCGGAAAAAGAAATGTGCAAGACGTCGATTACTGAAGGAGCGCAAAACGAACAATGCTTCCGCTTACTTCGAACGTTCTGTTGACATTTTAGTTGAAACTGTGAGAAGAGATCGAGAAACTGCTTATATGGATCTTGAAAATCATGCAATTATGGCAGAAACACTTTTAAAATGGCTCTATTTTGGTGTGTGAAAGTTTTTTTTATTAAAATAAACCAATTGAAACTGATGTAAATCTAATTGAATTGTTTTCAGGAATGGAGCAGGATAAAAAAACTTTAGGACCAATTTTAAAACCTTACCTTGGAAACTTGTTCAACTCGTCTCACGAAAATGCTTGGCACGTCGAATCATGGAAAAAGAGACAGGAGAACTGCAACTCGGAAATGCGTTCATTGACCATGTTCTGCAAGCTAGTTACCACGGGAGAGATATCGCCTGCTAATGGAATTGTCGAATCCCTTTCTAAGGGCTGGAATTGGTCAGACGACATTGCTAGGATGATTGAGCGTTCGAATTCTGGATTGAAACTGGTCTTTATAACCACCCAAGGCATCTTGAGGTAACTCGAAATTAAATAATAATAAAATGCTTGGTCTGTCCTTCTGACCTAACTTGAAGTTAACCTTTTCTGATTTCACGTGTTTTTTTGAATAGTAATCTTATGACGTGTCAAATTTTGACAATTCTTTTTCTCATTTTTGCCAAAGTTGTATAATTGTGTTTCCAAATTTCGGAATAAGTTTCTTTAAAATTCCAAATTCCAAAATTCAATTCACGAAGCTGAAGTACACAACGTTTACCAACGAAATTTTTTTTAAACTTGTATATTGATTCAAAAATTGTATACAAATACAAAAAATTTATGATGAGAAAAAAGATGCGCCAGGAAATTTCGTACAAGATAGTAATTTGAAAAAAATTTATTTTAAAAAATTAATTCTTAAGGTACCAGGGGCGAACGAATACCTATTAAATATTAATTATAAAAACACAGGCCTCGAATCAACTTAAAGACACAAAAAGTCGTTTTAGTCGATTTATATTCCAAAAAAAAGTGGATTTGTTTTTTATTTTAACAAAAATATTTTATAGATTTTTAAATAAAAAATTTTTTTTTAATAATAATCCTTTTCGAAGGGTTAAAGTTGAAATTTTTAGAAATAATTAAATTTCAAAAGATATTGTTAATTTTCAAACAATTATTAAATTTTACAGAACTAAAAATAATTTATCAAACAATTTTTGGAAAACATTTTTTAAATTTAATTGAATTTTCAAAGATTTAAAATTGAGATTTTTGAAATTAATTGAAACTTTAAGTGTTTTGTAATTAAAATTTTAGATGATTTCACTAAAAATTTATTAGAAAATGCGGACAAAATACAATAATTTGAAAATCATTTTTAATTGAAAAATGGTTTCAGATAGTTAAAATTTCAAAGAATATTATTAAAATAGTTAAAAATAATTGAATTTCCTTAGAGTTATAATTGAAATTATTAAATTTCAAAAAACAAATTTTCGATGGAAAATTTTAGAAATAATTAAATTTTAGATGCTTTTAAATTCAAATTATTGAAAATTCAATTAATTTTGAATTCAAATTTTTGAGAATAATGAAATTTTATTTGATTTTAAATTGAAAATTTTTGGTAAATAATTGAATTTTAATTGAAATTTTGGATAATAATTTAAATTAAGTTCATTTTTGATTGAAAATTTGGATAATTAATTTTGAATAGAAATTTTAGAAAATAATTGAATTTTATTTCATTTTAAATTGAAAACTTGGTAAATAATTAAATTTTAAATTGAAAATTTTGGATTTTATTGTGATATTTGTTTTTTAAATTATAAACAATTGTTAAATTTCATAAAAATTTTAATTGAAAAATAATTTTGATATAATTGAATTTGTGATGTATTTCATTAAAATTATTAAAAATAATTAATTTAGTGAAGAATCATTTTAGTTCAAAATTTGTTAAATAATTGAATTGAAGAAGATCTGAAGAAGATCTACATTTTATACTAAAAAAATGTATTTTATTTACATTTTTTTTCAAATGTAAAATAAATGTCGCATTTTATTAAAAGAAGACGATAAAAGTCGTATTTTTGAAAAAAGTCGGAAAAAGTCGTATAATCCGATGTCTGTAAACATATAATTTTCATTGTTATTATTTAATATGTAATAATATTCTAATAAATTAAATTATTATTGATAATATTAATCTTTAATTTCTTTATAACAAACAATTAAATACTCAATTTGGCGCGCGTTTAATTTTGCTAGTTATTCAAAAATTTGTGTGAATTAATATAGATATTGCTTTTTATAGGTTTTGTCTCAAATTCGAAGAGAATAAAGGACCAAGTGCATTTTCAACTTGGAGTAAAGCTCGAAATATTAGCAGTGCTGTAAAAAAAGCTACAATAGCGAAAATGAATTTGATTACAATTGAAGAAACTTTATCTGAATTAAAGAATGAATTTGGTGAGTTTTACGAACTAACAAAACCGAAATAATGAAGATTTTGATTATTATCACATCCTATTATGTAATTGCGATTGTTATAAGAATCAACAAATGACTATCAAAAGAGTTTTCATTTAAGACCTGCGAGGATTTAATAATTAACACTGATTAAATACTGATCAAAAAGTTTATCAACTTGGTAGTTTAAAACGGTAAATGAACTTCTGTTGAGTGATGAACTTCGAAGTTAGCAAATTAATTAAAACCAGGTCACGTAACCACCACAGTACCATCCTAATGAAGAAATTTTCCGAGTAATTTTCTCAGGAAATAAGAAAATGCGGTGAACCTTATATTACAATATCCAATACTTTATTTTAAGTTTTGCATTTTTAAAAAATAAATTTTACCCTCCCAACTGTTTAAAAAAAAAAACTTTAACTGTGAATGAAAATTTATTTATACATCTGTTTATTAGGTTTTGGGGTAAATCACGTAGAATTGAGAAATTTTAGTCCTTTGACCTATATCGTTTCGATTAATCGTCGACGAGGTCGTCAAAGAGGTCCAGGAGGATTAATTTCAGCTCTGGTAACTTTAAAAAAGTTTCGGGTAAGCCTTTTATAGAGATTTTTAATTTTATTAGTGCAGAAAGTTTTTTTTTCAATATTTTCGAACATATTTTTTTCTAAAAAGATTCTTAATTAAATTATATAATTATTATATATTTTCTTATTTATTTGGAACCGTATTTACTTAAACAAGTTTCAATTTACAAAATGTAGAACTTGTTAACGTAACAAGCGGGGTAAATCCTAGTAAATCCTCGTCTCAGAAGCCATTGCACATCTTGAGAATCTCCTTACTCTAGATTTAGCTCTATATATCTAGATAATCTATTATCCAATGTATTCGAATGCACTGCAAACTCGAGAAAATATTGACATCGACCGAAAACAATATTATATATCTAAACAAGTATAAATTTTTTGGAAAATTAAAATTTATTTCGTATATAATTAATTCTAATCTTTAGATTCTACAAGAAGTTGCACAAGTCCTTCCACAGAATGAGAAAACGGAAATGCTTGATATGATTCAAAAAGTATCTAGAGCATCTCGCACAAGAAGAATTAGCTGTCCAGATTTTTCGGATACACCTAAAGAAACCTATACACCAAGGTTATTATTTTTCTCTTTACTTTGTTAATATAAGTCGAGTTTTCTTTTTTTCATTCAAGCGACGAAAATTGAATTAATAATTTATTTTTATTTAAAATGATCTTTAAATTTTTAAATGATTGCATTTTGTGAACAAATCAACTCCTCGTTTTACGAGCTGTCAAGCCTCAATCCACAGAGAACGTGTGGTGGAAAGCAATTTCGTAATCGATATAGAAAATACGAATGCAGTTTATATTGGAACTTATATTTTTTAAATTGTTTGATACCTTTCATTTGCCACCAATTTTTTTTTTTTTTTTTTTTTTTTTGCTTGTTTCTCTTCTTTTATAAATAACTATCAAATTGGATTTTTTAAAAAAACATATTTCAATATAAATATCTGTTACTGAAAACAAACATTATTTATTTAAATTTTAAATAAATTTTTTTAAAAAATGGTTAAAAATTGAAAATTAAAGAATAAAACGTTTATTTTGCTTATGAATTTTATGTCTGACTAAAGCACAATATTTCTACTTAATTCTCTCCCTAAGTTAGTCTTTATGAAATCGTATGAATTTTATTTTAAAAATCGCAAAATATTTTGTGTGTATTATTATAGTATAACATATAGAAACGAAAAACATGATTAATTTTATAAACTTTGTCAAATTACGTCAAAATCAATAGATTCCCAAACTACTTAATAGAATACAATTCGAAAGGTAAATTATAGGATAACGACATTTAGGTATATATATAGAGTAAATTGGTTTACTCGATTTCAATTACAATCTTGCGACAGATTTAGCTAGATTTATGTTATCATCTCTTGCATAGTTCATAGCATTAACTGGGAGAATCCTGGCTTGTCGTTAAAGATTCTATATATATATATATATATATATATATATATATATATATTATAAAAGATGAAAAGAGAAGATTGTATTTTATTTTTCTCCACTTTTTTTGAAAAAATATATGTAAAAAAATAATAATGAATTAAAAATTAACCAACAATATTTCTTTGAATATTAAAAAAAAAATAGTAGATTCTTACACCCAGAGAAATGATATATTTGTCTCACAGCCTAATAAATATTTATTTGATTCAAATAAATATTTATTTAATTCAAATAAATATTTATTTAATTGAAATAAATATTTATTTAATTCAAATAAATTTTTATTTGATTTAAATAAACAAAATTATTTACGCCAAATAAATTTGGTTGAAAAATTTGGAGAGCAAGTTTAAAAATCCGGTTTAACCTGATTGAAAACTGGCACCTGTGATCCTTCAATTACCCATAAGGATTAGATCAGAAGAATAATTCCAAATGAGAATGATTTTTTTTTTAATTAAGAAATAATTTATAAACAATTATAATATCTAATTTGTATACCAATTGGTATTTTAAAAAAATACAAAAGATGAAACTACCAGTATTGTGATTAAAAAATATTAAACATTACCAAAGTTGAAAATACCAATTGTAAAAAATTATTTAATTGTATAAATTGGTTTTTAAACCTACCGTATATTTAAAAACTACAAATTATGAAATTGGTTAATCAGTTGGTTTTTTAAACTACTGTAGTGGAAAACTACCAATTGTGAATAATTAATCATTTGAATCAATTGTTTTTTTTAAAGTACCGTAGTTGAAACTACCAATTGTGATTAAAAATAGTAAAAACTATTACAGTTAAAACTACCATTTGTTGCAATTTGTAGTTTTTTCTATGTTTTCCGTGACAATCGGTAGTTTTTCTACGTATTTTTGTTACAATTTGGTAGTTTTGGTTTATGATATATTTTAATAGGTAGCAATTGCTTTTGGTATTAATCATAGTAGATTTAATTGGTAATTTTTTTTCTATGTACTTTAGTTACAATTGGTAGTTTTTTCTACGTATTTTTGTTACAATTGGTAGTTTCCTACTGGGGTAGGTTTTAATAAATATTTACTAAATTTTTTTGCTTCCTCGTGGAGGAAGCTTTGTAGTCCTTTCGTTTATAAAACTTTTCAAAGTGGCGGAAACAAATTTTTTTCTTTATAGAAACATGTTATATGAGATCCTGATCAATTGTCCGGATGTATGTATGTGTGTGTGTGTGTGTGTGGATCCCTTTTTTGTTTAGAAGATAACTTTAACAGGTTTTAATGGATTTAGATAAAATTTGGTAGGCTCATTTATCATATTAATATCTCAAATCTGACCAAATTTTGCTGATTTTTTTTGCTGATCCTAAAGAGGAAGCAAAATGTTCATGTAATGAACATCTGAATTTACAACTTGTTTTTTTATTATTGAAAGTAGTTGTAAATTGTTAGTTTTTTTATAAATTTTAGTGGCAGTTTTTTCAATTTTACAATTGATAGTTTCAATATTATTATAGCTGTTTCGAAAAAATAGCAATTTGGTTCAAATAAAACATTTAAAAATATTCTTCATAAAACTGTTAATTTTAACTTTTGTTAATTTATATTTGATATAACTTTTTTTCATATGTCTTTTATCATAAAATGAGACTGAAATTTCCGCTTGTAGATCGGAATCAAATATATGTGATTCACCTCGTCAGTGTTCGCCCAGCATAAGTCAGAGACGTATTATTGCTGAACATCAGCGACAACTTCATCGAGAGATGTTAGAAATGCATGACACCTTGACACGAGGTTTGCGAACAAGGAGTCAGCTTCCAGTTTGGGATTCATCTTCGATCGGATCTTGGAAATCCTCTGTTCGATCAATTCGACAGTTGAAGTCTAGGAGTAAAATGTGGGATACTGTGAGAGGTATTTTGTTATTATTATTTTTTATTAGTAATATAAAAATTATAAATATTTAAAAAGACAATTTTTTTTCAGGGAAATCTTCATTGCGAGATATTGTAAGTGTATCGAAAAGTTTTGAAAAGAGTATATCAGGAGAGATGATAAGTCGTGAGGAATCACCAAAATGGAATACTATTGATAGCAGATGTTCAATAAATAAGCGGGATACCGATAATAAACTTCCATCTTGGGATGTTTTAGAAGCCAGTCTCAATGGAAAATTGCAACGATATGATAATGTTCAAAAAGATTTATATCCTGATGAGAAATCGGATATTGATTATTTTGTTGATGATGTTAATGAGAAGAAAGAGAAAATAAAGTATTTTTAAAATTGAATTAATTTTAATTTATTATTAAGATAAATTCTATTTTAATAAAGAATTATAAATGTAATTATATAAGTATAATTAGTTATATTTTATAAATATAAATGAAGATTTAGTTGAGTGCTTCTTATATACAGACAACAATAACTGAACTAACTGCACTCTGCTTAAGGCTCTTCCTTTTGAGCACGTGGGCCGTGAATCCTGTTTATTATATGTCTGGCAAGAGAAGTGGTATAATATTGCTTTAACAGTTTAAGTGAGGAAAGCTACTACTGCAGTGGGTTAGTCTTAATGAAATGCGTTTGTTTTTAGTTTACGAGATTTTTATTTCAAAAATTTAAGAGGCCTTTTCATTTTTCTCATTTTCAGAATTAGCTCTCAATATATTAGTTTTGAGAATTTTTTTTAATGAAGTAAATAAAAAATTTTGAGGGCAAATATTTTTTAATTTTCCTTATTAAATAATCTTTATTCTTACATTTATAATTTTTATTCTTAATTTTTTTCATAAAAAATAAATGAAAGAGATAGAAATGAAATAACTTATACGTTATTTCGCGTAATATCAATAAAGTTTAAAAAAGTACCACTTTCGATAAACATTTTGTATATCCGAATGTATGTCCATGAAAACAATTGTAAAACTTATCGTCAAACATATTCAGTAGCAATAAAGAATATATGTCTGACCATAAACAGTTTCTTCTACTTAACCTCCGGCTTTAAGATACTTTGATGTCAGAAATAAATTTCTGAAATTAAAAGAAATTAAATTTTTTAAGAATAGAATAATAAATTTTTAATTCATATTATTATATACGTAATATTCATTTTAGGTTTTGGAGATAATAACTGATTGCTGGACACTAAATTGCTTCATTGAATTTTAGAGACCAGTGAGATGAATGAGACAAATCGTAATTGGTTTTTGGCTTGATTCCAGAAAGATCTTCTCGGATGAACAGCACTTTAACGATTCCTTATTAGATTTTGCTTTCAGTAATCTACTTATCAAAGTTTCTTGACTTTAGAGACCCAGTCCAATAACAACTTTAGTGCGGAGACATCTTCAATAAATTCTGTAAGATGGTTACACACTGTAAATAAAATTCAATCATGTTGTTGTATCAACTCGAATGATATTTTGTTTATCAGAATATGTGTGTGAAACCACTTTTTAAATCCCTCACAAAAAGTTTTTATTAATCTTTTATAAATATTTGTACTAGAGAAAAAAATATATATTTGTCTCAGAAGCTAAATAAATATTGAGATTTCTTTTGATTGAAATAAATTTTTTTTTTTTTTTTGCTCACTTCAAAAAGTTTTCAATTTCTTTTTTAATTAGAAAATAATACTGTAATTTAAGATTATTTACTTTAATCGAAAGAAGAAACTAATCAAGGACACTTTTTTTTACACGCACTATATGATATTGCGTAAGGGAAACAAAAAAAAGTATTAGTAGATGATGGCCAGGGGTTCTATCTGGGGGTTGAAAATGTGCGCGCGCTTGTAGATTTGCAGCGCTGTGATCGCATCTCAGTTTCGCAGCCTCCCTGCTATGGTCCATAACAGCGTGTCGTGAAAGGAGTGCCGTTCAATGCGTTACATTTTCGCCGCGCAACTTTCTTTTTTTCCTTTTGTTAAATAAATAAATACTTTTTTTAAAAAAAAAAGTATTTTAATTTAATATATTATTTAATTATTAATATTATGCATTAAGAAAAATTAGAAATTTATTGTTGACAATTTATATTTTTATCAGATACTGATAAAAACATTATAAAGAAACTTATAACCACGTGAATGAAAATGAAAAATGGACCACACAATACAATATCACACAATTTGAGTAGATACTCTTTGTGAAAATATTTTATTTTTATTATTTCACAGTGATAATTATATATCGCATGGTGAATTTTTGAAATAGCTGTTAAGAAATAACATGTGATTTTTAGAATTGGGATATCTTTAGAAATAATGGTGAGTAAATTTTAAATATTTAAATTTTCAAAAATTGTTTTTTTGTTATTAAAAACGATTTGCTATAAAAAAATAATAAAATGCAAAATTATAATTTAGTTATAGATTTTAATAAACTCATGTATATACATATACATAATGAATAAATGAACTTCCTGGAGGTTTAGCCATGCAATTAACTACTTTGTTCAGTTTCAAAGAGACCACCGCAAACTCTCGTAATATTTGGTCCAGTTTGTTCTGTACATTGCTTGGACTGGACGTATAAATGAGCATAATTAGCAAATATGTATTATATAGCAATTAATTAATGAAAGAAAAACATATTTATTTTTTGTTTTCTAGATTATAGGACACTTTTCACCATTTGTTAAATGTGTGGGTTAATGAAATATCTGCAAATAATTATTCCTTACAGTTGAAATTGAAGTCTGATAATTAGTAATACCGTTTTCAGACTTGGTTAAATACACAAGCAGAAACCTTCTGTTTCTCTCTCTTCGAGATATATAATCCTTTGAACGAAGTATGCACAATTATATATATATATATATATCTGGGACGAAATATAAGCAACTCTAAAGTTTACACTATGAAACTCGAGGTCGGGGGTGCTTGTATTCTAACTTTAAAAGTATGAAAAATATTTCCTACTAATAATAAAAGAAAATATTCTCTCATCGATCAAACGCCCCTCGATCGAAATATCATATAATTTTTTATCACAATTATTTATTACGTTTATGAAAAATACATTCACAAAATAAGATACTAAATAAGTAAAGTTTAAAAATATTTTCAAGTTAAAATGTCCTTGTTGGTAAGTGAGCGTGTACTCGACACTTTTGTCTAATTAGACAACTGTTAATTACAATGACACAAAGTTACTTCTTTCTATATATGTTTTTCATCTTTTATCATACGCTCTTTTTATGTTTCGTACTTCTTGGAGATACACGCGAAAAGAGGAAAAAAGCTTTCTGACCCTTCACGTTTTTAAACCATTTCATTGTCACTCACTTTCAACATAATATACAACTCGTATATAGTGTATATGCCCATATAATACAGTAAAACTCATTTTTGACGTTTATCAAAATTTTAATGCTCAAAAAATCCTACAGATTAAATTTAAAATAAAAACACAACTCCATTTTTATAATTCTTCGTTGTTTAATATTTTTAATTCTAAAATTTTCAACTTTTTTTTTTTGCTAAAAAAATTTAATTGAATTAATGTTTACACTATGTAATTTTATTGAACAGCTTATTTTATCATTTCAAATATTTGATGCAATTTATAATAATAAGTATTTTAACTAATAAATAAAACAAGTGAGATTTTTTCTAGACTTATTCGAGATAAAAGAAAGAGGGGTAAAAAATCAGAGATGTTTAGATGAAATAAAAGTCAATAGTAGAACAAATATTTCACAAAAAGAATTTTGATATAGAAAACACAGAAGTGATTCAATTTTTATTACATACTTACTATCTTTTTTTGTTCTGATTTTATTAAAAATACATAATTAATCACCTTTAAATTGTTAAAAAAAAATTTCATAAAATATTATTTTATTTAAAATTTTATAAAATGCTGCGCATACATATTTAATGATCAAAAATTAAATGTTAATAGCAAAGTATATACGTACAGTTGATTTTAATTAATATTCCATTAAAATTTGTGTAACACATTTAATAACTCAATATAATATTCAATTGTTAAACAATTTAATATTTACGGTCGAACAATATTTTTAATAGTTGATAATTAATTTTAAAAATTTAAAATACATAAATTTAAATATTAACATAATAACTACAATTTTATGTTTAATAATAATTTTGTTATTTATAAAAAATAAAAAAATTATTTAATATTTCGTGTATACAGATAAAATTGATTGCTGCAAGATATAAATATTTATCATAATATAAATAAAATGACATACTAATTAAACTATGGTTTGATATTTTCTCGACTATTGAGCAATTATTTTAACTCTTGCATTGTTGTCATTTTCGTCATTCTTTCTTTTTTTGGTTTTTGTGTTTTTAATCATGGAGTAGTTTAATCAACTTGGCCCAATATCTCTTTTGTTGTTCGTTGAAAGCACTCAGTTATGAATTATTACAGCTAATATTACAAGGTTATATATATATATTTCTACAGGAAAACGTCTCGATTGATTTAAACAATTTATTACACGAGTTGAAATAGCGGAAATGGAATTGCTACTCTGTGTGTATATGAAAAAAATTGTAGAAGCAAAATAAAGGCAATATGAGAAAAGGAAGTAATGCTTGAAATATATAGGGTGAAAGAGAGTGCGAATGCGAGTAACAAAATAATAGAATAGAAAGCAAACGGAGTTAATGTTTTAACGAAAAGTATATTATTTATTCATGTTTTTTCAAAAGAAAATGGTGTTAAAAAATTTATAAATCAGAAAAATAAATGTATAATAAAATCAAAAATTTACAGTTATAATTATAAAATATTTTTATATTATTATTTTTTAAATTTTATAAAATTCGTCACACATATAGAAAAAAAAATTTGAATTCCCCTAAAGAATATATAAAAGTTTTCAGAAATTGGATGGCGATGTAAACTTCAATCTGGATTCTTTGTGCTCCATTTTTAGAGAGTAAACTTAAATTTGAATTTTCCTGTAGAATTTTTGTTGAGTTTCACCACACACCCACATCTATCAATCAAAGTACTGTATATGTTTAAAAAAAAAGTTTTAAAACATGCTAAATTATACAATTTGTACCACTCTAGAACAAATTAAAATTAATTATATTATCCTAATTAATTTATGAATTTTAAATTTCATATTTTTTAATAAAATGTTTGTGAACAATTAGTCCAATATATGATAATCAATCAAGAACTGTTCATTTCGGATGCTATTAAGAACTCTTCTGTGTAAAATTGATGACTGAAATATTTAAACGTAATTTTCAACTAGAATGTCTGGAAAAGTGAAACATTTATTTTAATCACATTTTTGATAAATGTATCGTCTTCACTGATGAAAAGTTAATTATATTAAAATTTTATTAATATAAATAAGGATACTGTTCTTAAAATTGATTTGTCAATTAAGATGACAATTTTATTTTTGCTATGATAAAATTAAAATGAAGTGACGAAATAAAGTGTAATAACCCATCAGATTAGACAAGCGTGGACGAGAATCATTTGTAGCCTTCACTTTTCTTTGTACATTGCGTTCATAGATTCGATGCACGTACGTTGGCAAGAATGAAATTTGTCACGGTGAAAAGTACCAAGCGAATTAAAGTGAGGTAGGTGTGCTGGGAATGCTCTGGAGAAATTGAACAACCGAGTCGGTTACGTTTTGTTACATTTATTTCAACTAAATGAAACAGAAGAAAATTTTCAAATTATAAAAGGAAAAACATTTTTATCATATTCATATATGTATTCGAAGCTACGGAAAATTTTATTATTTATAAAAAGGATTAAATTTATACACTTGTAAAAGGTGGGAAGTTAAATTTTAACTTTAAATTTGCAAATTATAATTGAAGGTAAATATAATTTTAGATTAAAAGAACTTCCGAGAGCGATAAAATCACTAACAAGCGTTAGCGGTAAAAGACATGATAAAGAGTGTGGAGAATTCTGTTTTTACAACCTTCTGAAACTACAATAGAGGTAAATATTATAGTGATTGTATACCGAGGAAAAAGAGTCTTCAACGTTCATAAAAATCTATGTATATAAAAGGAGTAAAAACAAGAAGAAAATATTTTATGCTTGATTTAAGCTGTAAGACGCCGAACCCAGAAGCAGCAGCAGCAAGTTGCAGCTAAACTGGGATAAGCACTTCTTGACCTCTCAGACTTGAATTCTGTGATCACTTGAGGGAGGAAAGTGCCACTTAACGTTTCCTCACCAGTACCGTTTTTGTTGATCGTTCATCGTGTGCGGTTATATTAATCAAACAGTTATATATATCGGCAAAATGATTTTAAAGATGACAGAAATAAATTGGCCTTATATAGAGAAAATGTCAGATAAAACAATTTTTTTTCACTGATCAAAAATTATTTTTGTGCAACACCTGCAAAAAAGCGCTACTTTATGCAGCACAAAAAGTTGTTGATTTCTGAATTCTAATAAAGTGTGCAGCAAAGTACACTTTTCTGCACACTTTTAGGCATGTTAGGTAACGTAACCTTAAATTTATTCTTTAAAACAGGGGGTCAATTACGTAACTATTTGCGGATCCCACATTCAGGATCCCACTTACAAAATTTCGTACTTCCACTTTTCACATTCTATATTCCGGATACCACATTCCGGACCACATTTTCAAAATTCCGTATTCAAGATTCCACATTCAAAATTCCGTATTCCAGATTCCACATCCAAATTTCCGTATTTCAGTTTCCACATTTCGAATTACACATTTCGCATTACACTTTTCAAATTCCGAATTCCACTTTTCATATTCCGGATTGCACTTTCCAAATTTCGGTTTTCATTTCTTACATTCCATATTCCGGATTCCACTTCCAAAATTCCGGACTGCACATCCCACATTCTAAAAGTGGAATCCGAAATGTTTAAAGTGTAATACAGAATGTGGAATATGGGATCCGGAATACGGAAATTTAAAAGTGGAATCCGGAATTTTGAATGTAGAATCCGGAATACAGAAATTTGAAAGTGGAATCTGGAATTTTGAAAATAGAATCCGGAATGTGGAATGTAGAATACGGAATGTGAAAAGTGGAATCCGAAATGTTGAATCCGAAATACGGAATGTGAAATGTGAGATCCGGAATATGGAATGTGAAAAGTGGGATCCGGAATGTGGAATTCAGAATGTGAAAAGTGGAATCCGGAAAAAGTTACGTAATTGACCCCTAGCATATAAAATTGATTTCTTTTTGTAGATGTTGCACAAAGCACTGTTTGCAACTCTAGCGGAAAGAAGCATTTTCCGACGAGAATG